ACTAAAAAAACAATTCCTTAACTTGAGTTTTTTTGTTTTAGGCATTTGTTTAAGAAGTATGATAGTTTTCAATAAAAGATGGTTATTCATATAATGGAGCCAATATTTTAAATGAGTCAATTTACTCTTACATTATGTTAAATAAACAAATCAAGTTCGAGGTATCGCTTCTCAGCACAAATTGATTTACCCCACTAAAATCATTATATTAATTACATATAATAATAACACATACTTTCCTATTAATTACATATAAAATCATCTTATTAAAAAAAAGAGGGGGTATTGTGAAAAAATTAGTAAATGGGTAAATATATATTGACCTTCCATTTTATTTGTCAAAAATTACATTGACCTCCCATATTAGATTTGTCGAATTTGCAATTACATTTCTGTCTTTACTTATATATATATATTGTAGACAAGTGCAATATGATAAACAAGTGAGAATATCAATATATATTGAATTGACTTGAGCTTTACATTTATAATGGAAACTAAATTGGAGCCATTATTTATTGCTATCATATCTTTTAATTTTATCATTTTGATATATATACTTATGAAATATTACCTTTGCCCCTTCGAAAATTATTCAAAAAATTCTGTATTACCCTCCTCACATGAGTTTCTGGGTCTTCCCTACATGCAAGTGATGCCCCCATTGAATGACCGATGGCCAAAGCAAGCTGTTGCTGTCTCGGTAATTTTAATTGTATTTTTTTTTTTTTTGCCAGATTAATTGCATAATATCATGCCATTAATTTATGTGGTATAACTTTGAAGGATTCCGGGAAAAAAAAACTTAAAATTAAAATAAAAGTTTGAAGGACTCGAAAGTGAAGTGGGACAAATTTGTGTGGACACTACCAAATGGGTCACAAAAATAAAATACTTTGCACAATGATTATCGAGAGCCTAAAAGGATTACCGTTTCAATTTTTTCTACAAAATATTGTTTTTAAAATTTGCCATTTCTTTAACTCATAAATCCGCTATTCATAAAAGAAACTAAAAAAAAAAAAGTCAATTGATTTCTTTTTAATTCATAAACAATATGAAAATTATCATGTCATAATAAAATTATCTTCAATTTGGGCTTCACATGAGAGCTTTAAACCAAGCAAATTATTGAAAAAGAAGATGATATACATGTACTTTTGTGAGAGCCCTAATGGTCCACACTTTAAAACACCCATGTTGAGACCATGTGGGAGATTTGTTTTCTTGCCGGAGTCAAAAACCATGCCCTAGATTTCTTGGGCTCGTGGGACCCGCATGGTCTCTCCGAATCAGCATGTTTTCCGGATCCTGCCAATTCCCTTTCGTGCTCTCTTAATCAACGTAAATGGACACTATTTTTTTTTTTTAAATAATACTTTAATAATCTTGAAATATTGATAATATGGTATCCAATATAAATGCATTTTTATTTATCTAACAAAATAGAATTATTTTATTTATTTTTTATTTTTTATTTTTTATTTTTTATTTTTATTTTTATTTTTATTTTACAGAGGTGACATGGTATGTGGTGTCGTCTTGGCATTCCAAAATTCTACCTAAAATTCATTCTCTACCAATTTTTTTTAATGTTACGTTTAATAGTACCAAATCAACATATTAAGTTTAAAACTAGAAGAAATTTAGTTATGAGTTTGACCTATAATTCCTTCAATTGTAAATTCATAGCTAACGTTTAAATCCAGCTCTACCCAAATTTTTTGGAATCACCCCAATAATTCCCACTTGTCCAACTGTTGCCAAGCTATTTTTAAATATCAAACGGACCTCTCCATGAGATAATTTTAATGTGGCCGATTTCCCCTCTTTTGCAATCAACTTCGTTACGGTACTTGCTGTTCTAGTTAATTGTCCACCCTTTCTAAGAATGTGGTCGATTTCTCCTCTTTTGCAATCAGTTTTACTACACACCCGCTGTTCTAGCTAACGTGCAGGGACGGATCCACATTGAAGGCAGTGGGGGCAATTTGAATTTTTTTTTTTTTCAATTTCTACCCTTATAATTTGTTCATTTTCAATAATATACCCATAAAATATTTACATTTACGCCCCTAAAATTACTTTAAAAATGCACTACTACCCCCTAAAATTCATTTTTGCCCCCTTACCTTACATCCTTGCTCCGTCCATACTAATGTGAATTGATATCGTTTCACCAACAGGCCAGTGATGTAGCGATATCAACCTTTTACTTTCCAAAGGGAGGTCAGAGGTTCAAATCTCATAAGAGACAAGTGTGTGTGAGTATTAACTAGGAAAAAAAAAAAAAAAAAGATATTGTTTCAATAGAATTGTTATGCATTTTCTAAATTTTGGTCGACTATTCTCCCTCTGTAATCAGAATATATGTTGTATTATTAGTCTCCACGTGTATGCCAGTTATGTAGTAGGATTATAGCCGCATTGTCCATCATTTTCCTTTTACCCAGTATCTAAGACAATGAATACAAGATGGGGCTTGGAAAGTAAAAATATTTATGTCATATATACTATGTATTGGGTTAAGTGCAAAAACTTTTCATGATATATAGGGTTTGTACAGAACTAGTCCCTACTTTTTGAAAATGTGTATATTAGTCCATAAAATTCAAAAAAAAGTGCAAATAAGCCCCTCTGACCACTTTTTTACAAAAAGTAAAAATGAAAATCCTATTTTATCCTTTTGATTCCCATTTTGCCCCTCCCCTCATTTTTCTCTCTCTTCAACCCCTCCGCAGCGCTTCTCAGTTTCAAGTTTCACTCCGACGTCACTCCCAGAAATGAAAGGCAACTCCACGAATGGATCAGAGCAAGCCTTTCGACTCTTAACACTCCGAGCTCATTGTTTTCTAATCAACTTGATTACTGGAAATAGTAATACTCTACTCAAACAAGAAGAAGTAAAGGCATAACTATTGATTTGGCCATCTTACTGACTGATTTAGGTCTTGTACCTTAGCACACTGAACACCTACCCAATCTAGTTTAAAAGAAGAGCTTTTTTCAAGAAAATCCCCTTCAAGAACGTAGGCAAATAAGGGCTTTTTCGGGCTCATTTATTTCATGGATTAGAATTCCTATCTATCTAAATCAATACTTGAAGGACGAAATGCGGCCCAGTATTTCTGTTTAGCTATTGCATTTGATAGACCTAGAAGTCTTGTGATCCAAAGCATAAAAAGCTGGCCAATGGTGGCGGTAGCGAAGCGGCCATCATGGCCAAGCTTGCCAAATCCATCTCCCCTACGACGTCCGGCTGGTCCAGCTCCAACCACTGCAAGTGGACCGGTGTCTCCTGCGACTCCTCTGGCCGAGTCTCCAACATCAACCTCTCCTCCAAGTATCTCTCCAGTGAATTACCCTCAAATCTCAACCAGCTCTCTCACCTTAAAACCTTATCTCTTCAACGAAACCAGTTCTCTGGCCCTTTACCCTCTCTCTCCAACCTCGCATCCCTCTAACGAAACCGGTTTTGGTGGCGAGGACTCGTTAATATTTTAAGAAAATTAGGATAAGTTTTTTTTTTCTTTTTCTTTTTTTGATAAGTGGATAAAAGGGTCATTTTACATGCCTGTACTTTTAACAATCTCAAAATATGAGAGTTAGGAACTTAAAAAATATGGGTTACTCTATATATATATATATATAAATATATATTAGAGCATCTCCAATACCCTCTCAAATGACCTCTCAAATTCAAAATGTAATAAGTGTGAAAATGATGCACTTTAATGGGCTCTCAAAAGACCTCTCATATTTTGAGATTGTCAAAAGTATTGCCAAATATAACAGCTCTCAAATGGCCTCTCAAACTCAAAATATTGAAAGTGGATAAAAATAAGGCACTCCAGTGAGCTCTCAAAAGACCTTTCATATTTTGAAATTGTCAAAAGCTACTAAAATAAAAATAAGGCACTCCAATGGGCTCTCAAAATATAAATTGGTTGTTGTGTTAAAAAATAGCATTTTGGATGAAATACATCATTAGAGCATAATTACAAAAATATAATATTTTGACATTATACCTCCTCTCAAAATATAAATTTGACATGTAAATAGAACATTTTGCATTAAAAATATTTATATGACAAAATCTTTCGGATGTGATACTGGGATTCAAAAAAAAAAATCTCACATTCCACTTTTTAAATCTAAATATTAAAATAATTGGGAGTGTCAGAGATTGCTATGGAGTGTCAGAGATTGCTATGGAATGCTAGTATCATTTTTCAGAGGTGTTTTAGATTCCACATTGTGTACATTGTGTTTGTTGTCTTACCCATGATTGAGAAAAGGGATGACAAAGAAGTCCATGGTAAAAGAGTTTCATTTTTTTTTTAAAAGAAAAATGTTACTTTCATCTGTAAATTAGACTTAAAATATTAGTAGAAGCAGAGACGAACCAACATACACAGATGAGGGGCTGATTTTTTTTTTTTTTTTTTTTACTAATGTCCCTTACTAAATTGTTATTTTTCAGTCATATACCCCAAAAATATTATTATTACCCCCTGAAATTACTAAAAAAATATCATTTTTGTCGGTCTCATTTAATGCTATAGATCGGTCCCTAAATAAAAAAAACTTTTATATGCACTTAAAACATATTTAAATGTATATAAACCTTTCGTTAGTGTTTTACGTCTTATCAATTTTTATTTCCCCCTTTAAAATGGAATGAATGTTTTGAATTAAATTATTTTCCATCCCAACCCCCAACTAAAAACAAGGTACAACATTCATGGAGTGGGATTTAGGAAAAAATGTTAGTAGTGTAGTTTGCAGTCACAATAAGTTGCAAATGTTAGGTTTGCATGACAATAAGGGGGTACTTTTTATTCTTTCTATGAAGTTACAAAAGTTTTAATGCTGTGAGGGTTTTGGGTGGTGGGCCATACACCCCCATGTGCTTGCATGTGCTGTGTCTTTCTCTCCTTGCCCCACCATCTCCCTTCCTGCTTTTACCAAATAAATGGGGTTTCTACACATTCTTCTACTTCTAAATCCTCTCTCTCTCTCTCTCTCTCTCTCGCACACAGAGAGACTACTTCTTGAGTAGTTTTCTGATATATACATACACTTTGTTGGATCCCTAGAAACCACATCTCTGCAACTTCTCTCCACCACACTTTAATTTGAATTTCAGCAAGGTATGTATGAGAGTATATAGTTATATAATTATATATGTGTTACTATTACAATCTCTTCCAATTCCAACCATATCTATAAAGTAAATAACACACTTTGGCTGATTGATTATCATTTAATTTACCATGTGTCATGTTTCAGTAGCTAGCTAGATTCCAATTCTCATGAATTAATGTCTCATCTCTGCATCATTTTTTACACATTTTGTTCTCTTCATGACATGCATTCTCTCTCTCCTTAGCAAACTTAGTTTGGAACAAATTACATAAAGGTTATAATCCAAAAATAAATAAAAAACACACTTTAAGCTAATTTCCTTACTTTTTATCAGTGTATATATATAAACTCTTAACAGTTTGATTTTTTTTTTTTCCTGATTTCATCCATATAGAATGCGAGGTCCGAGCTCACTCAAGCAAGAATTTCTGAAGAAATGGGCAATGGGACTCAAAATCTGCAGTTCTTCAAAGAAGGACATGACCATCTTCGAAAGAAAGAAGGCTATAAAGCTCTCAGCAGACCTGGCCATGGCGTCCACTAGAATCGGCACGGCTTGCTGGAGCCGTGCCCTAATTGCAAATGCTTCGAATGACGGTGATAACAAGATCATTGTCAGCCATATATTGGGCAGTGATGAGTTCGAGAGGCTCAAGAGAGCTTCAAAGGCGTCGGTCATGTGCTGCAACAAGAGAGTTAGAAGCAAGAAGATCTTGAAAAGGAGCTGCAGTGTGAGTAGATCAAATAAAGTAGCACAAAAAATGGTTGTCGCTACATCTATTGCAAAGAGGTTGGTAAAGAAGCAAACTCAAGTGTTGAGAGGGCTAATACCGGGAGGAGAATCCATGGAAGAGTCCTCTTTGATCGGAGAAACCCTAGATTATATGATTTCTCTTCGAGCTCAAGTTGATGTAATGCGGCGAGTTGCTAATGCAACCTAGCAGATGAATGTTAAATAAGATCGATCATATATATATATATATATATATATATATATATATATAGCTAGTTAATTGCTTTTTAATTTGATATTCCTTCAATGCAAGAATAGATGGGAGTTGAAAAGAAACTGGTATAGTGAAGGCATATGATGTACAAATGAACCATATATATGTAAGTCAATATTCTTTACTTTCATTTCCACCTTGTGTACCACTTGTATTGACTTGCGCGCCCTACTGACTTTACAAGCATAAATTCCTTATTAATTTGTACTACATTTATAAGGACTTCTCATCTAAATTGCTTTGGTGATGGAGTATTGGAAGTTCTTTTTGAGATCAACAGAGATAAACGACATTGGTGTATAGTCTACCTTTGATGTTTAACTTGTTCATGAATTTTTATTATTATTGAAGGGTAAAACAAACCGTACTTTTACTCATGCTCGGATTCGAATCCCTCTTCTAGTATTTGAAGATGAGGAGGTTATGCCATTGGACTTAGAGCCCCTTTGGTAATAACATTTCAATTTACACACACACACAAAAAATAAAAAAAATAATAAAGAAGAAGAAGAAGAAGAAAGAAAGAAAGAAAGAAAGAAAGTGTGAGACAGTGAGAGAGAGCATTTGATGTATGGTTGAATGCTATTTAATGTCCTACTTTTTGTAGGCATTACTTACAGAGCAGTAAGCTTTTCTTTTCAGGTATTTTTTGGAAACAGATTTGATATGGGTTTTTTGCAGAAGTATGACACATTCAGCAGAAAGAAATTGGTGTTTACAGACACCATTATATAAACTCACAAACATCTATATATATATATATATATATATATATATATATATATATATCCCCCCTCCCTGCGTAAATATTACATGGTGGTGAAGATGAGGTGTGGGTGTGGTGCATGATACATACATATGTGCATATATATATATATTTATATATGTGTGCATATGTATATATATATACATGCACTAATGAAGGAACTATATCTAAATTCTCTTCATTGGTCATATACACAACTGAGAATGAATCTGAAAATAGAAATTGTGAATATTCAAACTACAAGATGAGTTGCCCAAAAAAAAAATGACAAGATGGATAGAAATTGTTCTTACTCACTTTCTAATCACTGCCACTAGTAATCAAAATGAATTATTGGAAATTAAAGATATTAAATATATATATATATATATATATATATATAAATATATATATATATAGTTTAATGTCGTATCACCGCAACAATGAAGGTTTGAAAAGTGATTGTGAGAAAAATTGTATACCTACATATTGAATTTTGTTCAGTACCTTAATATGAACAAACATATATGACGCAGTTTCTAAGGTTGATATAGAAGTTTTGTCTTCTCATGAAAAAATTAAATAAAATAAAGGTTTCCAGAGCCTCTAAAGAGGATCAATAACAATAAACATATGTTTAGAGTATGGAATTGGGACATTGAATTTAGAATTAGAACAAATTTTGTTTAAAGTTTTAATTAATTTTTTTTTTTTTTAATTTCAAAATATTCGATTCTTGCTCCAAAGATAATAATAATAATAATATATGTGTGTGTGTGTGTGTGTGTGTATATATAGTTGTATATTGATCTCATCTAAAATACCATTTGGAACACGGATGGGTTCATCGACTCTTCGCAAGCCTGTTCATGGGATTCGTTTGGGCAAGCCGACACTTAACTAACAGCCCACTATCAAAACACGGCCCGTCTTTTATACACACACACACACACATATATATAATTTATACAGACAAATACAGTAACAAACTACTTGTCTCCTTTGGAACGAACTTGAAGCCTCCCCAAAGTAATCAAGGCTTCCCCAAGTCTATTGTATCAATTATATTGATTTTTATGGTTGTCAAATGTCAATAGTAAATAATAGAAGTCCAAAAATGAGATTATTTCATTCAGTAATTTGTTAAGTGGGTGTGGAATTCGAGAAATATTAGATGGTTGTTAATTATTCTGATACTTGGTGAACCAATTCACTCTGGATCTTGAGATTTCTTTATAATATATTAATACACTCATGTGGCGTCATTTTTTTTAATGAAAAGTCTGAATTGAGTTGATCCACCAAATGTCAATGCCATTTAATAATTTGTCGTGAAATTGGTCTTACTATCTACTCACATGATAAAGTTCAAAACATGTGATATAAGGACATCGGAAAATTTTGTATCTAATGTTCACGCTGGAATCAATATTTTTCTCTTATAATTTTTTAATTTTTTTAAGAATGTTTCTCTTATAATTAACATAGATGTTCTAGGGATTTCTTTGGCATGCCTAAGAAGCAAAGTAATTAGCAAATTTAGGTGGGTAGATAATATACCACATTACTACCTCTATAAGATTCTTTTTGGGAATTCTAAAATTCGACTAAATTGTTGGGGAAAAAAAAAACCCTTCCAAACTATTATTATTATTACCACTTTAAATTTTAATTCTACCAACTGTACCTTTTTAGACTTAGTTATAACTTATAACATAATGATTTGTATTTTGGGCCAGTGAACCGATTTGAAGTGGTTCATTTCGTACCAGAGAAGCCTAGGCATGGACAAGGATTAATTTTACTTTCCCACCCACCTAGCTAGTCGGTCTAGGTTCGGAATAGGTCGTGGTGGGCTAAGTTATAGACACCTTTTCGTATATTGTACCCAGAGTATTTCACTTAATTTCCTTTGCAGTATTGGTTCCACCCTCATTTGTACAAAAAGTTAATTTTTATTTAACAGGTTGTAAATCACACAAGTTTTATGAAACTTAATAATGAAAGAAAGCTTAACTCCAATAATACACCTACTTTGTGTCGTGAATGTCGGACCCAAGTGGGTGCTTTAAAGCCTTAAACATAATGATGCTAAGTATAAATGTTGTTTGAGGTTAGGGGGCTGTTAAGGTGGTGGCCCCGGACAGCACTAGTTTGTTATCCTACCACACCACCCACAAATTCTTCATTCTTACCTTAAATTTCTGGTTCCGAATTGAAGGTCACAAAGAGAAGGGCCTCGTGTTTTTCTTTATCATTACTATACCCTACACCCAACCAATTTCCCATGTTGCTGTAGTGATCACTATGCCTTCACTCTCATTGTTTCCTCCAACTTATCTAATCAATGTCTACTTATCTATTGACACTTGGTCCGGGACTACGTAGTCTCAGCCAATCAGAATCTAACACATAAGTAAATTTGTCAATGTCAAATTGTGATTGGCCAAGAATATATAATCCCCTGGTTCCGTTTCCATGCTCTCACTGGCAGATCCAAGGGGGAGTTGGGTGTGCTCAAGCCCACCCCTAAAGGTGGTTTTGGTTATCCTTTCCATCTGTAATGGTCTCATTCATCCAATTTCTTTATATATATATATATATATTAATGTGTACAACTTTGGGTCATGGTAGGAGGGCACAGAAGAAGCTGTACACACTAGTCCAGTCACTGATTTAATTATGGCCTCAGTTTCACACATGTATGATGAGATTCGACCACAATGATGCTGGGAGGTCGGCCTGTTCCACCCAATCTTCATGTACAGTCTATATAAATTATTTCTAGATGGGAATTAATGGACCATACATGTGTTGGTAATTAGTATACTTTATAACTAAACTATATAATATATATATATATATATATATATGTATTATTATATAGGGTGATGATTAAGCATGTCTATTTAACTACTAGACCTGCATGTTGAAGCTTACTCTGTATCTGAAACCTTAGTAGCCTTCTTTTTCTCATTCAGTCACTTCTCTTAGTTTCATGGATTCTGATTTGAAGCCAACTGTTTCCGAAGCACATCCGGAGGCAATGGACTTTCTTTGGCTTGCATGGTGCGACTCTGCAATCCAGGATTCCCAACCAGAGATACAACACCGATCCCTCGTTCTCCACAATAACCCAATCAAAGAATTCAAGAATGATACCAAATCTCCTTTTCCGGTGAGTCGAATTGGCTCAAGTATTCTCTTGCCGCATTATGTAAAATTATGTAACACACACACACAAACACAAACCATGTAATGCATTTTTAATTAGTTGATTAAAATAAGTAACAAATTTTAGTTCCAGAAGATGAAAAAAAGCGTCAAGATGGATGATGCAGATCGATCTATACCCCAATGGAAATCAAATGATGTGAAGGTAGTGCCTTATTGTATATAGTTAATTAATATAATCAACTCACATAATTATTTTAGACCAAAATTAAATTATGTGACAACTGTTTTAACTTTATGTTTTCTTCGTCAGTCATGGATTTGGATGCAGCAAGCAATGCATCCTGAATTAAACTATAACAGCTGTTTCAGAAAGAAATGGGTATGTTTTATCTAGCAATACTTCATTTGTGTATGTATGTAAAATCATATATAGTTGGTATATATTCCTTCACTTAACAATGTGCCTAAGGAAAATATGATCATATGTGCGTGTTTCACACGCAGCAGCTGTCGTGGAAGATGGTGCCGTTTAGGCATATCTCAATCAAGAAATGGTTGAAAGCAATCAAACAGAAATGGAATGAAGATCAGACGTTGCAAAGAGCTGAAGCACATGCAGCAATATCAGTGGCTGGTGTCGCGGCTGCCCTAGCAGCCATAGCCGCTGAGAACGCTAAACATGAGGAGTCAAGCACCACGAAGGAGTCCGCAGTGGCATCTGCAGCTGCTTTGGTGGCTGCCCACTGTGCCCAAGTGGCGGATGCAATGGGGGCCAAGAACAAGCAACTTAGCACTGTAATAAGTTCGCCCATGAGTGGCACAAGTGCTGCTGGTGATATCTAGATATTAACGCTTGCAGCATCAGCCTTAAATAACAATTATATCCCATCATAATGGCAATTATAATCATATTTTTACTAATACAGACGCATTTGCAGACCTCAAGAGTAGCTTAGATCAATTACTTTCGGTTTCTGGACAACAGGACACTTTGACTATCCATGATATGTGTTAACTACGAGATTTAAATGACAAGAGGCAAGAGCTTTTGGCAAGAAAGAATAATCAAATAAGCACCAAATATTGTTAAGTTGTATCCAAATACAATAACTGTTAACTTATTTAAAAGATCTCTTTGAAATACTCCCATTATCAACAGACAGAACGATTGATGGAGCTAAATTTTTTAAATTTTTATTCAGTGCAATTATAAATGATCCTACCGTTCAAAAAATTAGTAAAAAAATCTATTGAAATACAAGATATCAGTAAAAAAGTCCCTTGATGATAAAGAATTCAAGACTACCAAAAGTCAATTGTTGAACAAAAAATTAATGTTTGGAAAGAATAAATGAACAATCATTCAAAAGAAAAGAAAACAGATCTTCAAAGTGCAACAAAACGATCAGATAGAGCTAACAAATTTTGAAGTGCCAAAAAATATATATATATATATATATATATATATTTAGTAAAGGCTGAGAATCACTGGCCTTCCAAAGCATATACAACAATTGATGCTTGAAGATCTCGGTCCACCTTGAAGTGAGCGTGAAAAAATCTTCTTATCTGCCAATGGTCAACCAAATTTTCTTAGAAGATAAGAGAATATAAGGTTTCTAGCATCATGAAGAACAAAAAGGGACTTAGAGTGAACCTCTTCAAAAGAATGTGAGAACAGAAAGTTCTTTAATAGTTTCTCTTGTGAATCAAATAGTACAATGTGACTAGGTAGTGACCAATTTATCGCAAATTCTGATGCGAAGCCAACTGGGTCCATCATGAACCGGTCCGATTCATCTAGAGTGCCTTTTTCTTCACTGCTATGAATAAAATGCCGAAATTGAAGTTAGGCAAAAACTTTATGAATTAGAACAGAAAGGATTCTCATAATATATTGACAGTGTCCTCACCTGGGCGAACAGTCTAAGAAACGCATGGGAAGGTTACGATGCAGGGTCGAATAGTAAGGTGTAGCATGGCAGGGTGTCAGGAAAAGAATATTTCTCACTTTCCCATTGAGAGCCTCTTTGGAGAGATAGTTCATGACATCCTCAGTTCCTCTCTGTCCAGCATACTTACAGATAAGAGTAAACCCAAAGAGAAATAGAAGAGCATACTTTTGTTCATAATAACTTGGTAAATTTTAATGTTTATTCTTGTTAGCATATATAATACCACGATTTATGGAATGACTTACCATAATAACAGAAATTTGACTATGCATATGTTAGCATATATGATAGCCACGATTTATGGAATGACTTACCATAATAGCAGAGAGTTGACTATGCTATAGAATATGCCATAAAATATGCTTTAGAATAGGTTGTGATTTGATTTAGATTTTATTTAGTCTCCTTTTTTGTAATATGAGCATGTGCTCTTTTTTATCTATAAATATTAGAGTTGTGAATGAGTAATTTATCTCATTCGAGCCTTTACGCAATTCTCTCATTTATCTTCTTTTTATATTTCTACCTGGTATCAGAGCCAACACCTTTCCACACCTTTCAGCAGCCTTGCTACTTGTGCGACAGCCACCTTAGGCTATCGTGTGACGTTACCTACACATGTTTTTCTGTGTTGCTGTTTTGTGATCAAAAATAGGTATTTTTAAGTTTTACAATTTCTTTTTTACTCTTCTAGGGTTGGGTAAATTGGAATAGTTGGTCTCCAACACCTAGAAGGGATTAGGTAAAAAAAAAATTAGTCTACAAAGAGGTTCCGGATATTAAGAAGGAGGCTGTCTGGCTATATGTAAGTGGGCAATGCTCCTTAAAATAAGTATGTATTTGGATTTTTCGGGAATGGTGTAAGGAGACATTGTTATTGTTTATGGTCTGAGGAGACCCTTTTTTTTATTAACAGAATTTGTGGTGTTTTTGGAGTTTTTTTATTGTCGTGTGACAGATTATGACAGATTCAGGGTCCTCGACTGTTAATTCTCTTGGCTTAAGTTCTGTGAGTGGTGGTGTCATTTTTCCCACCAACTCATCAGAAAATCCAGGACTTCAAATCACCACAATGAAGTTGGATGGTTCTAACTATTTGATTTGGGCACAGTCTGCCAAGATGTTCATTGGTGGCAAAGGCAAGATTGACTATATTACTAATTTTGAGAAAGAACCAGCTGAGTCAGAGAAGACATATCCAAAGTGGTTTGCAGATAACGCTATGGTTATGTTGGCTATATGTTTATGAAAACTGCTAAGCAGATTTGGAATTCAGTGTCAACGCACTTATTCTTAGAGGCAGAATAATGCACGAATTTTCTAGCTGGGGCGAGATATCACCAGGATTTCTCAGGGTGACTTGACAGTTTCAGGTTACATCGCCAAGCTTTGTGCTATTTGGGAGGAGATGTCATATTATGATTCCTTCCACTCTTGGAAGGATCCAGGTGATGCAGTTTTATATGCAGAGATTGTGAAGAAGAATCAAGTGTTTCAGTTTCTTGCCGGGTTGAACGACGAGTTTGAGTATGCTCGTGTTCATTTATTGGGCTTATCTTCATTCCCTACTCTTAAGGATGCATACTCCTATGTGTTGTCAAATGAGAGCCGTCAGACTCATCCATTAAGTGTTGCTTCTGTTAATCGTTCTGCTATGGCAGTTCGGGTTCCCAACCTTTCAGGAACTGTACCATCCAAGTCAGTTCAGAGCTCTACCACCGATCCTCCTCTGGGACGACAACGCAGACGGTGTGACCATTGCGGAAAAATTGGTCACATCAAATCTCGTTGTTATGCTATACATGGACACCCATCGCAACAGAAACAACAGCCTCGATCTTCTGCACATTCTGTTATACAACCAATCTCGTTGTCAACTCCTGACAACTCTGCCTCTACATCTTCTGCCACAGTTACCTTAACTCAAGCTGATTTGGACAAGTTCAAACAATTCTTCAACCAAATGGAGGCATCATCTCAGCCAACCTCCACTTATGCCCACTCAGGTACTATTGCGTCTGCACATAGCGTATCTACATCTTCGACACCATGGATCATTGATTCTGGTGCTTCAGACAATATGACTGGTATGTTCTCACTCTTCCAATCTTATAGTATCTGCTCTGGCCATCGCAAGGTCCGCCTTACGGATGGCTTTCCATCTTCCATTGCTGGGAAGGGTTACATATCAGTTACTCCTTCATTAACTTTGTCAGATACACTTCATGTTCCAAAGTTGACTACAAATCTTATTTCTGTTAGTAGCGTTACCAAACAATTAAATTGTAGTGTAACGTTCTTTCCTTCTCATTGTATTTTTCAGGATCTGGTGTCGAAACGAACGATTGGCAGTGGGTGTGAAGTGGACGGTTTATACCTGTTGGATGCTCCTTTGTCACCTCAGGCACATTCAGCTTCATTTTATAATATTGTTTCATCTAATAAAGCCCAGCTTATGCGTTGGCACATGCGTTTAGGACATATTTATTTCGGTTATTTAAAACATTTATTTCCTTCCTTATTCTGTAACATGGCAGTGTCAGATTTATCCTGTGAGACATGTCATATGGCTAAACATGTTCGTTCCAATTATTCTGCTAATAGTAATAAATCTGCTTTAACACCTTTTGATCTTGTTCATTCAGATGTGTGGGGTCCTTGCCCAGTTACTTCTAATTTTGGATTTCTATATTTCGTGTTGTTCATTGATGATCATAGTCATGTTACATGGGTTTATCTTATGAAAACCAAGAATGAGGTATACACCATTTTTAAAAAATTTATGACAATGGTTCAGACTCAATATGGTCGTACCATTAAAAAATCAGATCTGACCAGGGTACGGAGTACACATATGGGGAGGTACAACGATTGTGTATAGAATTTGGGGTTGAGCATCAGATGGCTAATGTTAAAACTCCTCAACAGAATGGTCGTTCTGAGAGAAAGAATCGCCACATCCTTGAGTTAGCCAGAGCAATCTGCATTGGCATGAATGTTCCACAGTCATTTTAGGGAGATGCAGTTCTTACAACTATTTACATCATTAATAGGACTCCTTCTAGAGTTCTTAACTTTGCAGCCCCACTCCCAATCTTACATCCCAATTCATCTCTTTTTTTGATTCCTCTGCGAGTCTTCGGGTGTGTGTGCTTTGTTCAGCAGTTGGGGCAGACTCGTATAAAGCTTGACCCCAAGGCTTTAAAGTGTGTTTTTTTGGGCTATTCTCACTCTCAAAAAGGTTATAGGTGTTACCATCCTCCCAGTCGTCGGCGGTTTATATCCATGGATGTTTCTTTGTTTGAGCAAACACCATACTATAGTGGTTCAGTTAGTTCTCAAAGTGAATGGTTCCCATTGAATATAATGGATGATCACCTTCTTCCATCTTCAACTCCTCTATCGTTACCTGTTTCGTCTTCTATGATTCCTCCTTGTGATACCCCTCCAGCAAGGGGAATTGTTCCTTTTTCACAAGTTTATAGTCGAAGACAACAGGTACAAGCTTCTACTCCCACGATCGACTGCCATGTTCCTTCGGCACCAGCTCCGCCTTCTCAAGCTATTGTTTCGCTTGATGGTCGCCCCATTATTCTTCGAAGGGTAAACGTTCTTGTACACACCCAATTTCTAATTTTGTTTCTGATTATGCTCTCTCACCCTTCTATCAGAGTTTTCTTGTTTTTGTTGCCTCGGTTCCTCTTCCTTCTAGTGTTGCAGATGCACTAGCACAACCTCAATGGCGTGATGCTATGACAGGAGAACTACAAGCACTTGAGAAAAATCAGACTTAGGACATGGTTCCGCTTCCTATTGAACGAAAGGCTGTGGGTTGTCGTTGGGTGTTTACAGTTAAGTATAATCCAGATGGGTCAGTTGCTCGTTACAAGGCCCGGTTGGTTGCCAAGGGTTATGCTCAGACTTATGGCATATGTTAGCATATATGATAGCCACGATTTATGGAATGACTTACCATAATAGCAGAGAGTTGACTATGCTATAGAATATGCCATAAAATATGCTTTAGAATAGGTTGTGATTTGATTTAGATTTGATTTAGTTTTCTTTCTTGTAATATGAGCATGTGCTCTTTTTTATCTACAAATATTAGAGCTGTGAATGAGTAATTTATCTCATTCAAGCCTTTACGCAATTCTCTCCTTTATCTTCTTTTTATATTTCTACTGTTTTGCTAGTTTTTGTAATTTAATATCTTTTCATGTGACAATCAAATAGAAACATTGATGAAGAAAAACAAAGCACTAAAGAAGTTGAGTGGAATGAAATGCAGAAAGTAGCTAAGATCATGTTCGTTGAAGAAAAAATTGATCTACCTGATGAACCAAACTCATATAAAAAGCCATTGGAATATTGGTAGCAACCAGGAACAAGATAGCCAATTGCATCTTCAAAGAGCATTTGCCGTGAGTTGTATGACTATCTACAGATTTTTTTCTTTTCCCATTTGATGAACGAGGTCTTCTAATTGTGGCTAATGTATATCCACAAAATATCAAAGCCACCGGAAGTATTGGGAGCACAAACCTGTTGCTCAAAGTTTGAGTATCACTCATGAAGTGGATGAAAGGCTGAAATGTATTCCCAACCAAAGAAGCACAAATTTGGAATTTAAAGGCAGGTACCTGAATTCTTTGTGACCTAGAATGCTATAAAGCCCTAAAACCCATGCTACAAGCCCAGAAAGCTTCCACTGTTTAGACAGGATAATGCCAGCTATGGAAAATGGTAAGAAAGTGAAGACCATGACTGGAAATCCCTGGGTGAAGTACCAGTGCCACTTGTGAGTTCCATAATAGTCTCCACCAGAGGAAAGAAAATTGAACTTCAGAAAATTAAGAGGCACTATGACCCACGAGCCATACATCAAAAAATCCAATAAACACATAAGCCCGAGCACCAAGACCCTGACACCATGATTAAAAGCATGAAGGAAGCATTAATAAGACAATCCAAAAGTACAAAATGTAGAACTTACTAAAAACTCATTTAACAGAGATTTCCAAATGGGTTTTCTATGACTTACAATGTCCTTTGATTCCATATATTCCAACATAATCTTATTTCGATGGCAATTCACAACAAATTTTATATGAATTTCTAAAGCATATTTCACAATTTATTAACTCAATATTTTCAACCAGCAGGTAGTAAATTAAATCCAGTTGAATGTTGATTGAATGAATAGAGGCTGTAATCCTCAAACTCTTACACTCCCAAATGTATATGGAAAATTCAATAGATACATGCCAGATGCAGCGTTATGTAAAACAATATGATCATATATAGTGAATGCTTAATCATGTCATGTGTTAAATTCTCAAAATATCCTTCAATAAAAAAAAGTAAAATATAAAAACAACTACTGTAATGCAGAGACAATGCATAAGCCTTAGCACAACTCCTCGCATGAGAGAGAGACGGAGAGAGAGAGTTAAAAACCAATTAGTCATCCATAGCAAGAGGGTCTGGCTTGAAAAAACTGATGGATAAAATAAACTAAAATAAAATAAAATCAGCCTCATCTTAAAATGTTCCAAATCAAAACCAGCCCCGACCAGAACTTTGGTTATTTGGAGTCCAACCTTAGCCCAAATCAAATAATTTTGTGAATATCTTGATTTGGAATCAACAACAAAATCAGGTACACATACACAGCAATATTGGATCAGTTCATGTTCTATGGACAAAAATCATCCCAATTGGCTCCCCATATTTCCTACCTATTGGGTCAACTCCTAGATTTCACCCATGCATATGCTAATTGCAATGCAAATCAGCCATATCACCATCTCATAAACACAAAATACCAGAACATTCAACTATGAGTCATAACACTGTCTCACAGATTCTTTATAAATCAACTTTGATTTAGTTCACTAGGCCATTGATGATTAAAAACCAATGCAGAAAATAAAATAAATATGGTGATTTTATACGCACAAATAATGATATATTAAAACTAAATTTAACAGAAGAAGCAATAATACCTACCCAATAGGGATCACCTCGAGAAAAATGAACTTTAGTCTGTCGCGTGTTAGAAACAACTCCAGAAATCCAACATATACCCATGTAATAGCACTGGTTGGTCGAATAGCACATGCTAATGCTGCTACAGCCAAACCCCACTTTCTTGAGACCAAGGGAATTTCACTGGAAGAAACTCTTATACAGGGCCAATAGTATAGACCCACAAGTGTAAGAACAGTCTCCAAACTATTTGACAAAGTACGAGTGATACAGAAAAACATAAACCAGTTTGTCAACTGGGAAAAAAGCTACAACAGAGTTAAGTACATTATCCACCACAAATGACTTTTTTTTTTTTTGATAAGTATCCACCGCAAATGATTTTTACAGTAGTATTTTTATCACCCATAAAATTAAGCATGTAAATGTTATAGGACCCCCAAACCTTGAGGGGATGGGAAAGAGGGGCGTATATTCAGGAAGTTAATATGTTGAGAACACAACAAAAGAGGATACTGCCCACTGTGCGACAAAGTCACTGAACAGGACTTGAGAGAGTTTGTAGACATAGAGATCACCAACTGCAGCAAATATGGACTGAAAAAGGCGTGGAGCCTTCATCTGTTTGGGATGGAGACAATTATTAAACAGAAACACTACTATTCGACGCACCTAAATTACAGCCATTTCTGGATGACATGTAAGTAGAAATAAAGTAGACAAAGTTTTCATGAAAAGAATAAAATGAAAATATAAAATAGAATTGCCTTCGACAATTATTCCTGCAACATGGTTTCTAGTGAATCAGCTCCAAATGCAGTTTAACTCATCATCAAATACAGGAAAAATAAAAAATAAAAAATCGTGTTCTGCAGTAGAGTAAAAAAACTCAACTATATAAAGCTCAAGATCAGTTGATTTTCCAAATTTATGTAAATTGAAACAATCAAAAGATAAACAAGTTTCTCAGTGCCAACATGATAAGAGTGCACTATAAGAAATTTTAATAAGATACCAACATCTAAAAGTCCGCTATAGTTTATAGTATAAAATTTTACTCAAAAAACAACATTTCCCCAATATGTGTTGTGTGATAGTAGAGATGAAGATGTTGAAATTGGTAAATGAAATTGCAAGAAAGATTTTCCTTTTTATTATTGAAAAGTAAGACATCCCCACGTACCAGGAGGGACTTGAATCAAGCACTTCCTTCTCTTGAAGCAGCCAGAGGTAACACTCAAGCTAATAACCGGCGGAGACATTGTAAGAAACAACATAATAAGAGATGAATGTTTCTTGGCTGATGCCTGTAGACTTCTTTTGGTCACATAAATCTAGATTCGACAGAATATCAGATTTCAGTTGTTGCAGGGTATTTAGTATTACTTTCTTCGCTCAAATTCTGAAAAATGTAGATGTCCATTTTCACAGCCTATATAAGACATATTCAGCCTTGTTTTGTGAGCAAGCACCAAATGTCACTTTTATAATTGTCTGTAAGGTTGTAATCAGAAAATTGCATTTCTGTCTCTACATCCACCCTTTTGGTAAAAAACAGTTGTTCTCTTTGAAACTCTATCTTATGCCTCAACCAACATTGATTTAATTTAGAGCTTTTTATGGTGTACCTATAAAGGGATATCACCCAATTTTGGTCCACCTAAACAAGGCCCTGAGAAGGGAAGACTCAATACAAATCTAATGTTTGATATTTCACATAGTGACTGCTCATTTGCTCTGAGACTATACACCAGTGGCACTAATACTCAAGCGTTTCATCACTGAACGAGGCAAGGGACCTAAAATAATAGAATTTCATGGCCCACACAGGTCTTAACCCTGCAACCTTCGCATTATTAGCATGACCTCTGACCACCTAAACTTACTTGGCGTGCCAATCCATAAATATAAAAACTCTAGCCCGTCTCTTCTTTACTTTTTTTTTTATTATGAGCTGATGCAGTAAGAAGGGAAATATGTGAGTTTTTCATCAGTGACCTTTACTGCTATTTCAGAGAATATGTTTATGCAAAACTGCTCAAATCTATCAATTTTACTTTGGTTTTCGGAAATTATTTGTTTGCTCATTAAGCATTCAATTACTAACGGTTCAAGTATCCAACGACTTAAAGTTGCAAATTAATAGATAACACGAGTTGCTTCTATCTGATAGTAACGACGCTTCAAGACTTGATATTCAATTAAGTTGCTTCAACATCATACTTAGTACATTTACCACCAAACACTTTCGCCTCATGACATTAAAAATATAAACATCTACATAAATAATCAATGTATCATTGCAGGTATACATTTCCATAAAAACTCCCATATAAATTCAAAACCATATTCAGCAATATATATATATATATATATATATATATATAAACACACATGTAGAGAAAGAGAGTACACGCACACAAACACGTATATTTACTTACCATGAACCATGGGGTATCGAGGCGAAGGAAGGCAAGAACTTTATAAAGGAGAGCAAACAACATTGGATGCAGGTAGCTACGAATTCCCCTTTTCCATTCCCATGTTAAGTGGCCGTATCTGTCATTAGATTAATCAAAATCAGCTAATACCCTAAGAACAGAAATTAAAAAGCACCTGATCAAACAATAACTTCAAAAGAAGTTGATTTTAGATTCATTATACATAAATACCCGAATGTAATGCGATGTGCAACCTCTAGGGCTTGCCAGTGCTCATCTGGATTGAAATAGGTCTGCACCAGTAAAGCATTCACCAATCGAAAACCCAAGCAAAGAAGAAATACTCTCTTTGATGAAGAATATAGGTTGGACTTTGCGGTTCCATTTTTCTTTCTGTCGATGGATTTTGAATTCTCAGTTCCATACTTCTCTGTTTCTGAAGTAACATTCCTTCTCCTCTGTCCCATTGTTAATTGCAACTAAACGAACCAGCATAAGACTTTAAGCAACTGTCATCGAATAGTTCAAATCAAAATCAAATTATGGTCTGATACATCATTTGCTTGTGCTATTGAAATATACATACATACATACATATATATATATATTTATAATCAAAACTGAAGCAGAGAAGATCGGGAGAGATTTAGCTGAACCTGAAATGGCTGAAAATTCACCGACGACGAAGAGTGTTTCAGAGAACCGAAGGTTCGAGAAGAAGCAGGCGGATCCAGGATTTCTCAATGGAGTGGACTAAATAAAAATACATCAATTATTTAATTCGTTAAATAACAATGTTTCTTTAGACAATTGACTGATTAAGGCATAGAAAATCCTATTTGGGTAATTAATAAAAAAAATTACCAATTTATTTCTGAACAATTCACCACTCAGTACCCTATCTCTTCTTTTGACCAATTTACTAATCCTATTTGAGAATCTACTAGTGGGAGCAGAGACACTATGGAATTCACTCAAAAGCATGTTTTAATAAATATATATATTTGTTTTGCTGAAATAAAATGTAGATTACGGTGATTACCTCAAAATGCAATGCAATGATTACCTCAAAATGCAATGCAAATTTTTTTACTTTATATTGTAAAAAAAAAATTATATAAAAAAGATCATAAAAAATTTCACCAAATAGGATTTAGTTTGCAAAACAAGAATTACAGACCTTGATTAGTTGATTTAGAAAAAAAAATTAAAACAAAACCCACACATTCAAGTTAGCAGTTGCAGAGAGAGAGGGGGTAAGCTTGAGAGTTGAGAGCAGCCGCTGAAGCTTGCAAACGGCGAACCCGAACTGGAACAGCGGGCGATGGAAACTGAAAGATATGGGTTTTGATTTTTTGAACAATCTGAAATGATATGCCGATATGGGTTTTGAACTTTTGATTCTTGGTTTTGAACTTCTGATTCATGTAGATTTTGTAGTTTGCAGTTGCAGAGAGAGAGAGAGAGAGAGAGAGAGAGAGAGAGAAAGAGGGCAAGTTCAGAGTCGAGAACGAGAATGGAGATGGATGCGATTGGGGAAGCTGAAAAGATTTGCCTAAAAACTTTTTTTTTTTTTTCTGGTGGCCCATCATGGGCCTATATATTTTAGGCCCCATAAATTTTGAGGCCAAGGCGACAGCCTTTGTCGTCTTGGGTCAGGGCAGGTTGTGGGCTTATTTGATTTGGACCTTTATTATATTATGGTAGTTGAGTTGACTTGGGTTTGATTGGGTGAATTAATATTATTTATAATTTTTTTTTTTTTGATTGGGTTAAAATTAGTATAGTAAAAAAAAAAACAAAAAATTTGGTGGGCTACATCTTCCCTTGAAGCACAAGGATGAGAGGACAGCGAAACAGTTACTGGGAGGTTGATCAGCACTTGAGCAGTGATCAGATGGTGGAACGCCTGTCGTCTGAACCCTGTGTGATTTAATCAGATCAGATCCGATAGTGAATAAAGGAAAATTTCAGTTCGAGTCCGTGTGTAGCCTTGTATTACTTGGTCTCTTCTTCAGTGAGCCTTTGTTCTAGTATGTTTTCATTTTCCTTTCCTAAGCCTCTGCTTGTTTGGCTTGAAAATTGTGGGAAATCGAAGGGCATAGAGAAAATTTGGATGGTAACATAGAAAATCTGGTTCAGGTGGCCACAAAAAGAAAGCAGACTTGGCCCACTCGGTTTTCGCTTTTGTGGAACCCGTTTGCTAAAACCCAAAGCCCAAACTTGGAAGCCCACAATCAATGTCTGCTATTCATCGAAGCCCCTGTTTATTTCCAAGACACGGGATATAACCCAACTGATCTAATTTTTCTTTTAAAATATTTTGGAAATAAACATGGGCTTCAACTTTTTAAGTGCATCTCCAATACAATGCTATATTACATGTTATTTTTATCATATAGCAAGTGGGAGATGCAATGCTATATTGCATGTTATTTCTATAATATAGCAAGTGGGATTGAAAAGGAGTTTTTCAGTGCAAAGCTATAATGTTCGTCAAATTTTAACTTTGCCAAAATTAATGCCAATTGTAGCACAAGTAATAGCAGTAGCTATTTCAGAGAGAGAGAGAGGGTTTCAGATCTATTGTGTGTGTATATATATATATATATATATTTTAAAAATCATAAAAAAATTTACCAAATAGGATTTAGTTTGCAAAACAAGAATTACATTGATTACATAAGAAAAAAAAAATTAAAACAAAACCCATACATACAAATTAGCAGTTGCAGAGAGATAGGGCCGTTGAAGCTTGCGAAGGGCGAACTCGAATTAGAATATTGGGCGATGGTAACTGAAAGATATGGGTTTTGATTTTTTGAACAATCTGAAATGATATGGCCGAGAGAGGGGGCAAGTTCAATGAGAACGAGAATAGAGATAGAGACGATTGGGGAGGCTGAACTGATTTGCCCCAGATATATACTGTATTTTTTCCTTGGTCATGGGCCTATAAATTATATAGTTAAATATATATAAATTATATAGTTAATTATATAGGTCATGGGCCTCTCTTTTTTTCTTTTGTATTTTTTTTTTTTTTTTTTGGTCTTTTTTTAACCAGATATTTTAAATTTTTGCTTCTTTTTAATTAAGTTTAATTTTAATTTCTTTTTAATGTTTATAACTTGACTTGAAATGTGCCTAATATTAATATTAGTGATGCAAATATAAATGGTAGGAATGGTAGTTGAAAAAGAATAGTAGTTCTGTCAAAAAATAGCATTTTGTATGAAATGAACTATTAGAGCAGAATTGATAAATATAATATTTTGACACTATAGCACATGTCAAAATATAAATTTGACATGTGAAAATGATTTTTAGTATTGAAGATAGTCTAAACCAGCCCTTGGTCCTTTTAATTTTTTTTTCAACAACGAATACATATTTTATCAACCATTACATAACTTGTTGCGCTCACATTATTTATGTAACAATTTTTAAATTATTTCAGATATTGCCGTACGATTACAATTCTGGTCCCTTGGTCCTCCTGTGTTGTTAATAAGTGATGAGAACATTAAAGAAAAGGGTTTACTAGTATTCACAATGGCACGACAGACATTAACTATTTTGCAGAGCCAACAATCCACGTACAGAATAAACACTAAAATGGATAGATGCCCTTTAATTACCCTCAACCATAAGGATGCACCACCATGTTCACGTTGATGTTAGAGAGAGAGAGAGACATGCATCTAGAGAGAGAGAGAGAGCAGTTGGATTGGAAGACGAATTTGGTTACGATACAGAGATGCAGCCCAGGGGGTAGAAGCTGTAATATACAAACGTACAAAGTAAGTAGTCACAGGGACACAGTCACACAGTAGAGTATTGTAGTGGTATTATTAATATTGTATTGTATTTCATATATATATATATATATATATACACACACTATTTTGTCTTACGTAGGCGGCTGCAAGAATATATGAGAAGAAGGAGAGAGAAAAAAGGAGTGATGGATTTACTATGTGTTGTCACATCTCAAAGGTAGTGATGATTATCTATATTTAAAGCTCCGCCAGTCATTAGTTTACCCATATCCACCCAATTTCTATTCCACGCGCATTCAATTCCATCTCCCCTTATAATTACTTTTTTTTTTTTTTTTAAAATTCTATTTCATGTTAATTCATTTATTATTTTTTATTTTGTAAAATTATTAAAATTCATTTACTTTTTTATTATATTTTATTTTGTAAAATTACTTCTTCCGTCCCATAATAGATGTCTCTTAGGAATACTTTTTAAAAGACATGTAATTATTGCATTGTCTCTTTTAAAAATTACAAAGTTATCCTTTCAAATTTAAATATATATATAATTAAGTTTGAAAGTTTTTAAAATTTTAAGAACATTTTATGAAAAATATGAAATATATTGTTTAAATTGAGTAAGTGAACAAATATTTTGGAACAATTCAAAAAGAAAAAATGAACAACTATTATGAGACAAAAGAAGTATTAAAATTCATTTAACAAAAAGTAAAAAATACTAATCAATTAAAGTTTTACATACGATTTTTTTTTTAACTTACATTATTAAATTTTTGTGTACTATTTATAATATTTTGATTTTTTATTTATTTATTATCTTTTAAAATGAGATCACCTTAGTATTGACAAAAACATAATAGAATTTGTGTATTACTTTATTTATTCAAAATATACTAATTTAAATGCAAACTCATGAGAAGTGTCATGAGGAATGCCTCATACTAACATTACTTCATTCAAAAAGTATCAATTTTAAGTTTAAAAATTCAAATTATTAGTTTAAGAGGATTTGAAATATATACAATATTTTAAGCTAAACTTTCAAACTAGACAAACAAAAAAATTAATAAAGGACAAAAATTTTGAAAAAGCAATAATAGTGTGGTGATTTTATTTTTATTTTTTATTGACAAAAAACACACTCACACCCTCATATGTTTCATTCTGAATTTAAATTTTTAAATTTTTCACTTAAAAGATAAAGAAGTACAATTATATTGCATTAATACTGTAGTAAATAGTGATTAAGATTTTGTTACATTTTGTAGAGTTGTATGAGGTTGAGTGGCGCGTGAGACAAGTTAATAGTTTCCCAAAATAGTGGCAGTCTGTCACGCTGGAATAATTGCCACTCACAACCTCCTTTCCTTCACACAGCTGAAGCAGAGATTGAAACAACAAGACGAAACCAAATTTAGTAGAAAAAATTAACCTCTCTATATAATATATATATATATATATATATATATATAATAGCTTAATTTCCTACTCTGAAACACAGTGCACACTATATAGTTTGCAGATTCACATAAATTAAGAGAGAGAGAATATACAATGGGGAAAGCCCACTTGCACAATCTGATTATGCTTTGCTTTGTAGGCCAGCTTTATTATTAGTACTTGCAAAGCTGTTTTGTGTTTTTTATCACCCTAAAATCATCTGAAGATCTTCTTTGACAGTAGTCTATGTATCTACCATATCATACAACATTGGATATTGTGTTCACATACCCCACGCAATGCATCATATATTCAAATAATTTTATATATATATATATATATATATATATATATATCTCATTTTTTAATTACAAATAGGTATCATGAAAATTTAAATGGAGGTTTCCATTAATTAACTACTCTGATTAATGTTCTTGTATTTTCGCACATGGGCTCTCTAATTAAATATATATTCCCCTATAACCTATATATACATGATAGCGTATACATAGATTGGGCACAGATGTTATATGTTCGATTTGATAAAAATATATATATATTAAATAAAGTTAACATATTTAATTACCTCTCATCTACTTAGACTAATGATTCCGAAACCATTTAATAATTTCTCAATTTTATAACCTCTTATTTTCAAAATGAGGGATTTCGATAGAGCATATATAGAAAAAAGGTGTATATTTACAAATATATTATATATGGACAAAAGTTGTATATTTATAAATATATATATATATATATATATACATATACTGTGTATGAGTTTGTTTTGTTACTGAATTTTTTTTATTATTATTTAATGATTTAAGATAGTTTTAAATGACATGAAATTTATATATGTTACTATTATCATTCATGTGATGATTCACATAACATTGTTAGCACTTATATGTATAAATGTACCTTTGTATTACTGAGACTTATATTTAGCAAATGTCTTACGTGCAAATGAATTTCAAAAAATGTACAACTTTGCAAAACAAACTATAATCTCTAAGATTTTAGGACTATTGTCTTCTCTGAGGTTATATAAAGACAAAATTGTGAGGAAAATAGTCAAAGAAGCCTTTTAGGAGAGCGAGGACATATATAAAATATATATATATATATAGGGAGACCTGCATGCATATATGTTGGCTTTCTTCTTATACTAGTAAATTCATTGCAGGTCCATACAATACTGTCGAAATCTTCTCTTTTTCTCAAAATTTGAAAATCCGAGTCCCCATGCTTCTTATTCTTTCGTATTTAACGTAACTGAGAAGGTAAAAGATGTGAGACAGATGACAGAGAGAGAGAGACATAGATATGAGTTTAGAGTAGTGATGGTTATTGTTCAGTCACATTACTTGCACTGCTATTTCTGTACTTTCACTACTATATATCACCCTTCTCTCATTTCATGATAATCCCACACATCATCTTGTTTTAGAGTGAGAAACTAGTGAGAGAAAACACTTTCCATTTTCACTGATTCCTTGGGACTACGTACCCTCTTTAATTAATTAATCTTTCGTATATTTATTTATTGACTCTTTGGTGGAACTATACACTTATTTGGAATGTCAGTACTTTCTGCTTCTTTATTTATTTCTCGCTCCTGTTTTGTCTATATAACCACTATCCATCCCTTCAACAACCATCTCTTGTTACCTATTTCTATCACTTCACTTCAAACATAGCCCATAACATTGTGTTCTTCTGTCCATTCATGTCCTTTTCTTTCTCCTCTTCTTCTTCTTCTTCTTCTTCTCCGGCTTCATGCTCTTTCATGGGACACCACCAACTCACTCATGCATGTTTGGTGGAGACCTGGATCACGAGGGAAAGTCGCCACTTGGGTTCCAGTTCTCGTCATAGGTGGAGAATGAAGCCGCAAACACATAGGTCTTGAATCATAATGGTGCTATCCTCCCTGAGCTTCTCCTTTTTTAATTTTTTTTTTTTTGAACTCATTTTTTTTTTTTTTTGGCCTTCAATAACTCTAATCTTCTGTCTTTTTTTTCTTTCTTGACCTTGCAAGACTTTTTTTTATTAAGTCAGTTCTTCTGATTTTTTTTCATTTTGTTTTGATTTTAATTTTATATTTTCGTCCGGTTCAAACCTCCCATCTTATTCTTCTTTGTTTATCCCTCCTGAGCTTTGATCCTGAGCTGCAAAGAGCATTTTTGTACATGAAATGTTTAGATCCCGAGCTTCAAACATCATATTTGTACATGAAATGTTTAGATCCCGAGCTTCAAACATCATATTTGTACATGTACATGACATGCTTGGATATATGGTTCAGTAAAATGTATTATATCTTGACTTTTTATATATAGTGGTACTCTATATATATTTATGGGACAACACTATCTTCTGATTTGATGTTAATTTGTTTAATTGTATACACACATGCAAGCCGTACATGCATAATAGAATATCTATCAGCTGCTTCATTTTCTTATATTTTTTAGTTGTATTTCATGACTTCACAGCTTCTTAACTAGGTTTCCACCGAACGACTAATCATCAGACCTAGATTTACGTGCATCCAAAAGGAGAAATTTATGTTTTGATATTTGTTTGTCTGTGTAGTGTGTGTGACTGTGTGTATCCAGAGTTTGTTCTAGGGTTCTAGTAACGAAGTCAACTTGCAGTCTCGCAGATATTTTGGTAATGTGGTGTGATGTATGGTTCATGTTAATCACTTGGTGCATGTACACAAAATGTAAGAGTGATTTATTTTTTTTGGTAGTTAATTCTATTTTTATTTTTTATTTTTTATATGTTCGCCAATGATCATTAGGCAAAAAGAAAATGAAAAATGATATTTGGTACAAATTAACACAATCCAATCACTAGTCAAGTTGTTGATTGTGATGGCTTTGTACAAAAGTAGCCCTAATTTTCACCGCCAGAATTGGGTTTGACTTTCACTGTTGAGACCATGTTTGATTCACCATTAATTTCAAACTTACTGCTCTCCTCACACAGAAAAGTTGCAGGTTCAATGGGGTGAAAAATATTTATAATTATAAGAAAATTTAAAAAAAATTTGATAATGTTTGGATATGACAAATTAAGGACTTTGTAAGTTTTTAAGTGGCTACATGTTTTAAAAATGGGGACCAGAGGGTTCAGAGTGGAGGAAACTGTGATAGGGTACAGAAATGCATGTGAAGGTTGCTCAATATGACACCATGAAATGCAATGTGATTGTGGAAAGCATCAAATGCTATGTGTGTGTGTGTCTGTGTGTTCATGGATTGACTGATATATCCAATATATTCCCACTGTTTCATTATCCTGTTACCTGCTGTTATGAGCTGCTTGTTTGTCATGTTATGGAAGAGGGAGATATGTGGCGTGGGACTTCCATTTCCACTCCAAGGACAATTTTGTTTTACTTACCAAAGTTATTGGGAGGGTTACGGTACCGATAGATCTTTGGTCCCAACTAATTACTAATTGAAAGTTGGTCCCGATTAATTCCTAATTGAAAGTTGAGACGTAAACAGATATGCTTAATTTTATGTCAACTTTATTTAACTTTTGTTGATCCGGCCAATTGAAACTTAGACAAATAGGCTAACTTTTGCTTTGAGTTGTGACATGACGCTGTTTCATTCTTGATTAATACTTGAACCTATTCTTAAGAGGACCTAACTCAATTTGGTAATATGTTTGTGACATGGCACAGTCTCATCAATATTTTTCGGGAAGTAATACCAAGAGGACCTAGCAAAGTGCCATGTTTTTTTTTTTACCATGTTGTGAAGTAATGCTAAATTGAATTCAGTGGGTGCTAGTCTGACCTACTTAATTTTTCTGTCTCCTATTTTTATTTGTCAAATCAAAAAGATCTAAACCATCATTGTATGTCAATTTATTTCAGATACTCGATCTAGGGTTTGCTGAGGTCTAGGTTCAAGCTCACAATCATGAATAATTTTCTGCTATCCTATCAGTGGTTAATGCAACCTGTGCCTTGTTCCAAGTATCGAGGGGAAAAGGAAATCGATAATAAGGAAGTTTTACAAGGAATTCAAACATTACTATTCTTAGAATTTGGAGGGAAGAATACACCCTATTCGAAACTAAGTCATACAGGGCCGGGAGCTCAAAAATGACAAAATTTAAATTATACATAATGAGAGCAAGAGTGAAACGACGGCGCAAAGTGTGAGAGCGACACCCAATAAGGATAATTGTATGACCTAGGAAATATATTTCAAGTGCCTTGAAGGAAAATTTTCTGAATTTGGAACATAATGGAGAAAATAATTACAATATCAGAGTAATCTTTGAAGCACTAATTAGTTAACCTTGAATGCATAATACACTCCAGATAATCCAGCCTTACCAACTCGGCAAGCTCAATTACAACAAAGAACAGAAGAGGAACACCTAATATGTAAATAGTAAACCCCAAGGATTCATTATATATATAGCTGATGGCAGATGTTCTGTATATACAAACACAACTTTTTTTTATCAACAAGAGATTCCAATCTTAAATCAAAGAAAAAAAAAGTAAGTAAAAGGAGATAGTAGGCCATTACCTATGGTTGATCCCACTGATGCTGAGTGATTAACTTGAAAAATATTTGCATGAAGTATATGCCCTCCTACCATCATTTGACATTCTTCCACTTGACAGATCAAGCTTTTATCATTTCATCACCGAATAATGGTCGCAATTGTAGAAGAAAATGGTAATTTCGGAAAATAATTGAAATAATAGATCCAGTAATATTCAGCATCCACTGCCAGTTGCTACATATTGGTTGAAAGAGCAAAACCATGACCTTCTGCTCTCGGAATGAGAAGTGGAACGGCTAAAGCCAGATCTCGAGCACCTAGACAACTGATCACGCATGTTCCGATCAACACCTCTAGGAACCAAAGGAGGACTGGCGTTTGGAGCTCCCATGCAAAGGCTAGGGCTGAGTTTTACTGATGGGAACCGTTGGCAACTCAGAGAGCGGAAAGAAGATCCCAGTGGGGACATTCGGGCAGAATGGAAATCAGGCTTGCAGAATGGGGTTTCTAGTGAAGTGGATTCTGGTTCCTCATTTGAACACGTGCAAAACGTTAGGGACAAACTAGTTCTTGAAATCCCCTTGACCAATGGCCTTGTGCAAAGAAGCCTGACAAATGAAACTATGCCATGCCGGCAGAGAGGACAAGCAATTGACCCCGGAGGGCCATGTGCTGCAGTTGAGGTGCTGTTCGTGGAACAGAGGTACAAGGCACAATGTGTGCAGAACTCATGATCGCAACCTGCAGCGTGAGGAATGTAAGCTCATTAGGCACTGGTGAATAGAATTGTATAACAATACTGCATATAAAACATGAACTCATACAGTAATGAGGAAGAAGAACAAAGTTTGGTAGCACAAATACAAATTGAGGTTTTATTTGACACTGCAAAAGTATGCATTTCCACTGCAAATGTTGAGTTATAAGTGCTTGTTCTTTGTTGATTGTATAAACAGAGTCAAACAATTTGCTTATGTTTTTTTCTAATTACTTAAAGATCAGTGATAGAAATTCTTATGTTGATAATTTAAAACTCTTAATGCGAGTATACCTTCTGCAGCCACTGTGCACTCTCTTTCCAGACAAACAACACAAGGGTCGACGCATGTGGAATGGGAATCACTGCTCCTCCATCCACATTCTCTGCAAATGAGAGAAAAAGAGATCATAATGCAGTCATTGCATAACTTGTCCTTCTGAAAACCAAGCCAGGAAAATAACGTCGTTTCACTATTCATACTCAGTTCTATAACATGAGAAAGAAAATTAATCAAAGCCAAGAGTTCTATTATTTCCTCGACTGCTATAATAAGCAGGAAAGGTAATTAAAAAAGATGCAAATGTAAATGTTCAAGCACGCTATTTCAATTGTATTGTTAGCTACAGTATCATAAACACACTAGTTTCTGATTTTAAGAAGTGAAAAATGCTTTATAATGACACTGATACATCAGTAACACGCGCTATAATTAACAACTCCTCAAAACCATTTTCCAAGTTAATCAAACTGCACTTCCCCACAACTATCAATGAAAGGCGCTACACAGGCAGACACTACTTCCAACAAATGATTAAATATAGGTAGTTCCAAGAATACATAATATAATTCCAACCAAACAGCCTCCTCACAATATCACTTTCAATGCTACCTCAAGACTCGGTCAAAATTCAAGGATGCCATGACAAATTTAAAACGCTATAAGTTTGATCAAAATTTGCCAAGATAATGGTGCAAGGTGAAATTCGTTCTATCTAAACCAGAGTTAGGTTAATGCAGTTACGTGTAAAGGTAGCTCACCTAGCAATTTTGACAATACTCATAAGGGGAAGGCATAAAAATGGCGAAGGAATGAGTTGCAGCTGCTCTTCTGGATGTGTTGTAAGAATTTCCTCAAGCCGTTCTCTATGCCATGAACGAGCAACCATCAAGGGTGTCCATCTTTGAACATATAAAACAAAAACAACATAAATTGACAATTATTAATCGATCAAGAGAAAATAACAAGCGGCAAGGTGCTTCACCATAACTGAAAAAAGTTGTTCTATCAAAATGATCTCCATAATGCAGGATGAGTTATAAAGGGCATTTAGATGGCACATGGATGTTAAATTGAAAATAATATACAATCGTATTTCACTTGAAGAACTTATCAATTATAGAAGTACCCATAGCTAGATACATACATGTTTTAGGATTTGGTTACCATGTTGCAAGTTTCAACATATGCACATACACAAACTGGCCCACGCATCATGCATGTCATCTTATGTGACAACTAAGATGCATATCTCACTACTGCCAATCTTTTGTTTTAAAACCACCTTCAAATGTTCCTCATGTCTGAATCAGCATGCACCAGGCATCTCATGTGTCGACTAGGTCACTGTTCCCACTTCACAGCACTACATCAATAGCAGTATAATACTTTTGAAGCGTTGGATATAAATATCAATAACAATGGCTTTGATGCTCTGATCTGGATAATTATTGACGTGTAGAAACACCTAGGGACTGGCTACCTTGTGATGGACGCAATGTATTAATAACAAAATGCAGAAACGGCTGTAATATAATGGTAAAACAATATTTATATTCTTAACATATTATGTTGTATTTTTTAGAAAGTACCATCAAAAATCGGTTCCCTGCAAACTTCACATGAGATTTGAAAGTGGTACAAGTATTGAACTCACAAAATATTTCTATAAGATCTTCATTTTCATCCTTTACAAGTCAAAGCAATAAAAATTTAAAAATAGAAGCCAATCTTACAATTAATCCAACATTATTCTAATATTCATTAGTTTGAGCTCACTAATATCATGTGTGCGGTGTGCCAAATACATAGCACTTAATTTTCCCCACTTGAACCCATCATATTAATAGCACATAAATGAATCCTTTTCTTTTTCTTTTTCTTGTTTTTCTTCCTTTCTTTCTTTCAAGTTAAAAGCACACAAATGAATGTTATTCCTTTTTTAACCCCCCGGGCGGGTGAGGAACAGAGGCAATAGCCTGAGAGCAGAATGGAGAAAAATTGATTCATGTAGCCAGCCCCAAATAAGTGGGAAAAGACATTACTAAGTTGAATTCAGTTGACTTGAATGGGTGGGAAAAAAGGTCTTAAGTTGAATGCACTGACTTGGATGGGTGGGGGAATAGGTATTGATTTATGTTTCTATTGCATTACTTTGTAAAAGCAATACAAGTAAGAGTGGTCTCCACATGAATGATGAACCCTTAGATTTTCCCAAGAATATAAATCTCAGCCCAGTAAGAAGACTCTTAACATATATACATATAAAAAAATAAAAGATCAATTTAGTTCTGCCCAAGCAGCATTTCAATTGTTGCGTCTTAAATATTTTTTTCTCTTTCTCAGAAAATCTACCGTGCCAATATCTTGCTATTATATTCTTTAAGCAGGAACACTGTTACTTAAATTAAGGGTGATTGAAATGATGGGTATCAATATGGTTCGCATAAATAAAATGATCTAAGGGAATCAAAAGCCTAATCAAATAGAAAAAATAAGAATGTAAAATTTTAAAAATAAGAATACATGGCATCCATACCCATTTGCATTTTGAGCAGTCAGACTGGCACCCCTGTCAACCAAAATCTGAATGTCCAAAATAAATAAATAAATAAAATCAGCATAAATTCCAATAGCATAAACAAATTCAGGCCATTAAAAAGAAACATACTTGACAGCATTGTGCATTTCCACCACATGCAGCATAGTGGAGGGCTGTGCTTCCTGCACCTGCAGAAGGGCAAAATATTTCTATGTAATAGTAATATAATAATATATAATAATAATATAGTTATAAATTCTTTTAACAGAATCTGTGGCAACATTAAGGTAGCCTGTCCTGATTTAAGAAAAGAGCTTCGAAAATTGATTTCAATGGCTAAAATTTTTTGCATATCAATGTTACATGACCTTTTGTGTGACTACTCAACAACATCATCAACTCACAATACTTCTCCAATCCAATATGAAGAACAATGGAACTTTAGAAAATGAGAAACAAATGACAAACACTCTTCACTTTCAGGACTATACCTCAACATGTTGGGCACCATTTGGTTTGTTTTAGGAGTAATTCTTGATGAGTGAAAATTCCTCTTTAGTTTTTTGTCTTTCAATCTTTGCCACGAAGCAAAAATCAAAAGCATGTCTCATAAAAAATTTGTATAAGGCAGGCATGCATAAACAACCATATTTTTGGCTGCGAAAGTGATGGTTGTGGTGACGGACATCATGGCCGTGACTTCTTTATAGTGATAGCATATGAGAGCTAATCAAGATTATTGGTTCCGGGGGGGGGGGGGGGGGGGAACGACTAGGAAAAATATAGTACTTTTGAAAGGCTCGGCCAGATGTGTTTTCAATGATCGTCATTCTGAAGCTCATTCTCAAGATTCTCTCTCCTTTCACCCTAAAGGTCCGATTAATCTCAAAATCTCAATCCCTTGAAGCAGTGATTTCGTTCGTATATTTTGTGCCTCTAGGCTGAATAATATAAGTAAAATTTACACAAACACACAGATAGAGAATCTTATTTACACCGTGTGAGGCTAAATAACAGAAAGCTTCTACCTTTCTGTTTTTAATTATAAAATAGTAACCAACAACGTATTACATTCTACCCCTGTTAGAAAATGTAAAGAAAAGATTGCCAAAGGTTGAAAATGCAAAAAATACTTCTGACGAATGTAAATGAAAATATATGTTTACAAAGTCTAAAATTAACTATTGGGAACTGGATTGAAGATGTGTGTAAGCTGGTCTCGAATTGATTAATCATTAGGAACTGGATTGAAGATGTATGTATGAACTAAAACTGGTCTCGAATTACCAACATATTGAACTACTGACGTAGTGTAATACCAAAAAAGGTCAAATCAGGAATTTCACACGCAGCATGAATGGCAGCATGAGAAATCATGTAATCTAGTTTTGGGTTAATTGTGTCCTGGTTTGTGCTACTTTTAGGTTCTGTCGCTACCTGCCCCTCAGTGTGTAAATACTGTCCGCTTTGCACTCTCTCCGTACTCACAGTTTTCAAAACGAGTATACACTGGTGTCCACACATAAAAGTGCCAAAACCTACCCCCCCCCCCCCCCGGGGCCGCGCACGCGCGCACAGACAATGTGGGACGTCACAATCACCCCCTCTTGGGACCCAGCATCCTCGTTGACCTGACTCTCGCGGGCTTGTGCACACTCCCCCCATTTCTGGTTGAGGATTAGCTATAATACCATTTGTCACGACCCGCCCACACCATGTAAATACTATCCGCTTTGCACACTTTCCGTGCTCACATTAATAACAAAGGTCTTCGGTAATTTTCAGAATTGAGGGACATGGGCTGTGGATTTGTTTCATGGATCTTACTTTATTTCATTATATTATTTGGGTCTTTAGTAGGTCTGGAAAAGCTTCAGTGGTCAAGAAGATAAACTTTCCTATTTTTAGAATCAGAGTCCCAGTAAAAGTAGAAAAAAACCCAGCAACATATATCTCTGCAATTTCTTTGCTTCATTAGAGTTGAGCTACAAGAATTTTGGTTTTGTTTGTGTTATCTGGCTTAATCCTCATGAGGGTGAATCACAAGTATTTTAGAGAAAGATTCCTAAATAATTCTTCTCCTCCTCTTCCTCTTAACCTTGGTTATTCATAAGTTACTGTTCCAACCCTAAAATATCCCCAAATTCAGTACTGAAATTCTACTTTACCAAGCTCTAATCAACTCCAATCCTTTAATCTAACACCCAAACCTCATAACACTTGCCGTCTTAAAAGCTCCTCAAGGTTTTTTCCTGAAATTCCATCATCCAATCATCTCTGAAATCATGTGAACTCCATACCTTTCTAAAATCCAAATCCTACCACCTTTCTTTAACCTTTCTAAACCCTATTAACAAAAGTTACCATGCATTCATTAAAGCTGATGATGGAAAAATGATAATTAAAACAAGGACATAACTGGACTTGCCTATTAGATCAATTGTAGTTCCATCTTCAACAGTGACCTCTGAAACAGAAGCACCTAAGTCCAAGAGTAATTGCACGCTTTCAACATGCCCATTCAGTGCGGCCATATGAAGGGCGGTGATGCCTCCATCAGAAGTTCTATTAATTACCTCATAGAGTGCACTGATGCAAACAAAATGAAACAAGAAATAATCTGATTAGTCTACTGAAAACTGGAAAAAGACGACAAAAAGTACAAGCAGTCCTTTGACAAAACAGTACCCTTCATAGAATTCTAAGATAGATTCTTTATTTTTCGATCTTTCCTTCAAAACATTCCAGAAATTAGGAACACTAGGAATCAAATCTGCGAGCAGGAGCCGAATGCATCTAGAATGCCCATTCAGGGCAGCCAAATGGAGAGCAGTACCCCCATTAAGATAATCCGCTCTGTGGATCTAAAACCCAATATGCAGTAAAAATGTCATGATTGTATCCAACAAATATTCAAAACTATTGATTGTGAATGACATATGGTAAAACTGGCTTGAAAAAATTCATACATTGGCTTTGAAAAGAACCAGAGTCTGAACAGCCTCCCAGTGACCATGTTGACAAGCTTGCATCAAAGCAGTCTATGCATCAAAAAAAAAAAAAAACCAATACTTAAATTTCTTAATAGGAACTTTTTACTTATAATTCCAAAATAATTCAATTTTCCGATCTAATCAGTAACAAATACAAATTATTGCTAGTTTGGGCATTCAAAATGTTTGGGAAGCACAAATGAAATCTATAATAGGTGAGAAAGAAGAACAATTTTCAACAGGACAAGAATATCTATTTTACCTGCCCGCGATAATTCCTGAGATTAATGTCAACCCCAGACTCAAGCAAGAGCGAGACAATCTAAAGAAAAAGAATAACATAATCACTGTCATCACAAAACAATTGCATTATATATAAACTTAGAACAATGACATTTAATCATTCTTAATAAACATTTGCAAGCTTAAAATAAATTGCAAGATACCTCATGGTGGCCTTGAGCTGCAGAGTAATGGAGAGGCGAATTGCGCACACCAAATGTGGAATACCTAGCAAGACGAGGATTATACTCCAATAAAGCCTTAGCTTCCTGGAGATCCCCGTCTCTAGCCGCCGAAACCAAACGCTCCCCGGAGGCCGAGCATCCAAAAGAATTGCCCACCAGACTTAAAAACCTCATAATCTTCAAATGTTACAACCAACAAAAGACAAAATAAGGAATTTTTTGGCTAGCTACACAGAGAATCTTAATTTTCAGAATCAGATTCAGAACAATATAATGACCCACATATACATATATATGAGTGTATTGAACTGTTATTCTTTGAAGTTTGATTCTTATACCATCCGAAGAATCATATAAAGAAATTGAGAGAGACAGAAATAGATGCTTCTCTCTCCACAAAACTAAAAACTTCCTTATTTTCTACCAACTAATAACCACCCTCTTACTTTCACACACAAACAAAAGAATTTGTTGGAACTGTCAGAATCTCACTGTCACCGCAGAAACCTAAGAAAACTATCCACAAAAACAAACCCTTCCAAAACCATAAAACCCACTCTCACATTGCCCATAAATATTGGTTATAAGATCTCCTCAAAATCAAGAGATCCAGATGAACACAAAAGAAATACAATTCACAAAATTCCTGAATTTTCACCAAATGATGACAAACCAGTTCGTTAAAAAAATTCAAGATCTCCAATACCCAATCCCTAATTTGCTCTCGAATTCCACAGAAAAATTAGAATCTACAATACCATATTCTCCCATGAATCAAAAATTCCACCACCCTTCACCAGATTTTCCCGGGAAAATCAAAATGGCGAATACCCAAATCCGAATTTCCCCTCAAAAACAAAAAACTACAATACCCTCTGCCCTAATTCCACCTGAAGAATAAAAATCTTGGATACCCACTACCTAATTTTCCCGGGACAATCAGAATTTTCAATTCCGATATCACATGTTTGAAAACCCAGATTATCCCTCAGAAAATCAGCATATCCAATACTCAAATGGGGTTTCTCATTATTTCAGGAATGTGATCAAGACAGTGTCATGATGAAGAGTAAAATATCAGAAATATCCCAATAATGTTGCGAAGACCAATTGTCCACAGAGCATATGTGCTAATCCTGGAAAGATAAAAGTGGTATTTGTGTTGGAGACAGCGACTTTTACGACATCTTCTTCGTGCCAACAAGCCTGCAAAGAAAGGTTTATTTCATGATTGGTTTTTTTTTTTTTTCAATAATTATGATTGGTTGTCATTAAGCTGTCAAAATTGGTAGCCAAATTTATTTCTGACACTTAAACATGAGTCATTAATAACATGACCAGTCTAAATATATTCACTTATATTCACTGCATGCTTTTTCTGCTTATTTTATTTTAGGATCTTCCAAATTTTAGTGGCAAAGTGAAAATACCCATTCGGTCCTTTTCTTCTTATTTTAGGATCTTCCAAATAAAACCCCCTTTTGAAAGTTAAATGTAAATTTTTAGTAAAAGTTCACAAAATCTATTCACCCACTCCTTAAATTTATAAAAAATTCAAGAAATTCCTTTCATGTTGCATTGAATTTATTTATCTGAATAAGGAATAACATCATCATAATCTCTTTAAATATGATGATATCATTATAACGTCTTTCTCTACTCACATAAATTTAATCAATTATGACTGACGGTTGAACTCATTATCATTACGTTTTTTTTTTTTTTTTTTTTTAAATAGTGATAATCATTAGAATAGCCAAATTCGTGACACTTTGTAGTGTTAAATGTTTTTTAAAATTATTAAAGTATGGGAGTGTCTTTGTTTTTTAAAATTATTAAAGTATGGGAGTGTCTTTAAATTTATAATGGTTCATTTTGAAATTTCAAATTTGTTAAAAAAAAATTAAATAAATCAAGTCGAGACGTGAATTTCTTACAAGTTAAAACCTTTGAAAAGACAGTCAGTTTTGGAATAGTAAAAACACCACTTAAACTAATTTTTAATTATTTATTATCACTCAAACTAATACTCCGTACTTGATATCTTTGTTTAGCTGAGAATTAGATTGATAAATAACAATAATAATAAAAAAATAAAAAAAAAAAACATTATCATCTATATTTAAAAAAAGAAAAAAAAAATTGTCTAGAAAGGGGAAAAAAGATTTTTAAAAAAAAAAAGAAAAAGTGAAGAGTTCCCCATAAGAAATGTTTTTCTTATTGTTATTATTAAAAAATAAAAAGAAAATAAAAAGACGGCATTTTTCATTAAGGATAGTGAGTGATTCAAATTTTGTGTCAACCCAACATATATATATATATATAAATCTATAATAAAAACAAATAGAAAAGATCAAATTATATGTCAACCCAACTTTGTTAACATATATATATATGTGTATATATATATATATATCTATAATAAAAACAAATAGAAAAGATCAAATTATATGTCAACCCAACTTTGTTAACATATAAATATAATGATAAGCTTAAAAGATGTGTTGTCCACTGCATTGGTGGGAGCACTTGGAATCATTTCCAATTTTATAATATATTATTTTAATTGTTTTGTAGCAATTGGGCTTTGCACTTGGATTGCACTACTGAACAACTTTCATTTAATTAAAATTTTATTAACATCACAACCACTCCCAAACGGCGTATAAAAGTGAAAAAAATCTTATTAGTGACGTGTGCAAATTATTAATAAAAAAAACTTTGAAAATGACCTGTGTGTGTATGTGTGTGAGAGAGACATTTCACATTAATTATAATAATAGAAGTAGTAATCAATGGTGACTTGCCAAAATGACATTTCTATTTAAGTTTGTAGAAATGTTGGTGGTCATAATTTATAAGACCTATATTAGTCTTTAACACCAAAAATTGTAACAGACATAGTGCTGTTGTTACAGCTGGCAGAGGTTAATTGGCTTTCACCATTCGGTGACCAAGTTTTAATGTTATGCACCAATTCAACTAATATAAGTAACCAATTTAATGCTCATCATTAAAGAATGGAATTTGATGACTTACACGTAACTACTTATTGTCCTAATTTTATATACTGTAAAATTAGGAAGCGCACACACACCAAAAGAGGCAAAGAATTCGTATCCAACACGTATCGAACACGTCGAATATATTAAAAAATGTGTCTAAAATTTTTTTATTTTTTATAATTTTCGGATACGGCTCAGACACTCGGCAAATACACGTATCTGGAATTTATTATTATTATTTTTAATGTTGATATGTTTTGTTCTTTATTTTGTACTACCTTTTTGGTATTGTAAATAATAAAAGTCCTAAGTCAAATGATAAATGAGAATAGATGACAATACACTGACTTGTTTTTGTATTTTTTTTTAGAGTAACCTTTAGGTTTTTGTGAATGTTAAGTGCTAACGGTAAAGTCCTGAATGTTAATAGTCATTTTTGTCTATGTTTTTGTATTTGGAGTAAAGTTGCAATGATGATTAATGATACTAGTTATTATTTTAATATCTTGTTTTTTATTTGGTTTTATAACTATGCAACATTATTCTTTTATAGTTTATTAGTTATGAGTTATGATTTGTGTTTTTTTTCGTTGATGAAAAATAGTAATGCTCAGTAATTTTTAAAGTACTACATCACACACACACACACACATATACTATTCGCCGTGTTCCTGCCGTGTCCTAATTTTTTTTGATTTGCCGTGTCGCTGTGCCCGTGTTGTGTCGTATTCGTATCTTGTATCTGTGTCCGTGCTTCTTAATTGTAATATATAAGTTCTTCCCACTCTTTCTAATTAAAAATAAATTGGACCATACTGCTAGTTGCTAGGGTTGAAAATAAATTCAACTATGTAAACTTAGTTTGAGTTTAGGCTAGAATATAAACGTAAAAAGTTGAGCATGAGCTCTACTTAACTCGTTTAATGAAACAATCGAGTTCAGGCTCGCATTGAATTTCATGTTCATGCTTGTTAAACTTTTTTTTTTTCTTTCTTCCCGGTTGCTAAGTTCTTTTTTAGTTACATAATATTTTCAATAGCAAATTAAAAACACATCTAAATTATTATATTTTAATTTTATACTTTTCATGAAGATAAAAAATATTATAAATGGGTGTGTATTAAAGGGGCATATCTTCATCAATGTACAGGATCCTAATTTATAAATTAAACTCAATTTTGATCCGTTTACTTAACACGAACGAGTCTGACACGACAAGTCATTTGTAACCATTGATTAGTTAACATAGTTATCTTGAACAGACAGACTTATTGAATCAAAAAGCAAACTTTTATCCCAGTCAATTAAAGCATAGGCTGACTAAAATAAAACTGCTAGAATGGGTACATCAAACTCATCATTTGTCACTTGAATAGCAGGATGAGAGAGGTTGGGAAGGATGAGAAATCTTCATTTCCAAGTTCCAACGGACAAAAAAAGCAAGAAATTATTGTTATTATTTTTAATCATATAAATAATCCAAATTGTATTTAGAAAAGAAGGGATGAGATTCGGCCCACTAAATTTGGGCCGTTGATTAAGGTTTAAGAAATCAATAAGCTGGGCAAGCGGGTCTGAAAAGATTCAATAGCAGATATAACAATGAAGAGATGGGCAAAGCCTAAACTCAGCCACAACAAGAGAGTTGTCGATTCCTAAAGCCCATTTCTTCATGGGCCTATATAAAAGAGTCTTGGGCCATATTCCTTTTACTTATCTTGATTATACAAGTCACACAACTACTCACATGAAAATGCCATAGTAATTGGACAAGGATCATCTTCAGCGCAGGAGATGTCTAGCACAGAATTCGTGGTTGAAATTGAATTGATAAATAAGACCCACTAGTGATGATGCAATCTACTTAATACTGTGCTGGACCTCTTCTGCATCGGAGAAGATCTTGCTCATAGTAATTAGAATCTGCTTGGTTAGTAATTATAAAAACAATTTTTTGTTCTCAGAAAATTATACAAAAACTCTCTAAAATGTGTAGACCGAGTGAAGTCAAAGTAAGAGATTACTGCGTTGTAAATATTTGTGTGGTACGAGTCGTGCACTTTAATTACTTGTGATGAATTGTACAACAAAAGTCATTGAGGCATTTTGCAACTAAATATGATAATTTAAGGATTTTTTATGCACAAAATATATTGAAATCAAGTGACATACATTTTACAACTAAATTCAGTTTTATAGAAACTTTTTTCTAAACTAGAATAAAATTGACACGTAACATACAATTTGAAGTGCGACTTGAAATCTATATATATATATATATATATATGGAAATGATCTCTCGGTTCATTAGTGAGTAAGATATTCATCTACGTCATGCATAGTCATCACTAAATACAAAGAATAATAATTATTAAAAAGATATAACAATCACATCATCCATAAATTTTTTGCTCACGGAAATATAAGACATCGTTAAAATGTATATTGAATATACATGTGTGTGTGTGTGTATAAAAGCACAATTTGAATTGTGAAGTGGGATGAAGTGAGACTTGCGTTTTAGTACTTTGTTGAAAAATGAATGATTGGGTCACTGTTATGATCCGAACAATCCGTAGATGTGTTTTCTTTCTTAAAAAAAAGGTAACATTTTGGAACTTATAGCTTCAATTGTAGTAATTTAGATTGCAGAGTTTGACAGATATACAATAAAGTTGAAGTCAAAGGTTAGTTTTGCTCAAATGGGTGGAGATTAACAACCACCTCGTCACATGGGGATTGGGGCCAGGTCTTTCTTTTTTTTCTTTTTATTTCTTTTTATTTATTATTATTATTTTTTTGTGTAAAGTCCACATCTACTTTCTTTTTTTTTTCAAGTAATATTTATTTCAGCTTTGGATGCTCATTTTAATTGTTTTTCAAAACCGTTTTTGACACTGATCATATGGGACAAAAAGTTGTTAAATGGCAGGTGAAGTGGATTAGTTGTGTCTCATGGCTAATCTTTCTATGTGATGTGTCCAAAAGGCAAAAAGTGGGAGTTGACATGGGTACCTTTGCAATTCTTGTTCGGGGAATGGTGTTGTGTGGTGTCGATATAATATTATTATATTAAATAATTTCATTTGAACATAATTTATTTAATGTTCATGTCACAACTTTTGACACTAACTTAACTTATTTGTAATATTAAAAGAGTTAGTATGTAATTTATTTAATAATTTATTTATTAAAATAATATTATTTAAATTATTAATAATACCGAATCAAACAATATATATTAGAAAAATATAAATTTTCATCCAATCAAATTAGTAAATAGCATCTAATTTACAAAAAAGTAATTATAAGATACAAATTTAAATAGTTATTTTGAAACTTAAATATAAATTTATTTATGACACGTATATGTAAACGGGTATAAACGTGTTAACCATCTCAACTCAAACACGACACAAATAAATAAACAAGTTAATCGTACTGATTTGTTTACGACCCAAATCTGTTTAAGATTAGCACAAATCAGTTTAACTCGTGTCGTATTCGAATCATGTTAGCCGGTTATATCAAACTTTGCTACCCCTAAACATGGGGGCAAGCTCCAAAGGTGTCATGTTTGTTTGTCAAACAGATTTTGTTCTGCATTCAATTGTCCTCATTGTTTATACGTGTGCACAATTTCATTTGAATTATCGAATACAATATAATACTTGTGCTGCACTATAACTAATCCAAATTCTTATGTCAAATCTCAGATTATATATATAACAAGAAAATGCGAATCCAAGAATACTCATTCTTGATGTTTTATGCATACAAAATAAGAAATTGCAACAAAATCGAACAAATAACTAATAACATTTTTGATAAAAAATTTAGGCTTAACAAAATCACTAATCAAATTACAAACACCTAATTGGAAGCATCAAATTAAAGACTTGAACTTGTAATTAGTTTAAAATTTAAATTTAAGACATTAATTCAATGCTCAAAATACACCGTAACTTAATTATCTGCTTTTATTCTTGGATTAACCTATTAAAAAAAGAAAAGAAAAGTGCAAACCAGAGATTTATGGTGCTCATTTAACTTGCCAAGTGTCAATGAAGAATCCTCATATTAGTTAGAGCCATGTGGTGACAATTGGTTTGCAGATATGAGGTGCAAATGAGTCTCTTATCATATACTATGAAGTTTGATTAAGAAGCTACTGCAAATATTTGGCCCCATTTGCCTCTTGTCTGGAGGTGGCCTGTCCTGGCAAGTGCCATGGTCAACTTATTAGCAGATCTTACACCCAACTAACAAATATATATGTGTGTGTGTATCTATATATATATATATATATATATATATATATATATAATTTATGCATATTTGAGAATTGTATAAGATTGTGCACAGATGGGAGTGCCATACATATATAGTGCCACATCATCATATACATAAAAAGATATCCTTATTCTTCAGTATTTGCATGCTAACTTGTTTTTTCTTTCGTCGCCCATTCTTTTTGTATCTGTTCTTTTGTCGTAGTGCGCCCCTTACCTCTTTTTTGTAATGTTATGTCATTGTACACATGAGACAATTTTTATTTGCAGAGACAATTTTTGGATTATTTGTGTTCAATTAAATATGTAAAATCTCCCCAAATAGAAAGACAATGGAGGAAATACTTAAAATTTATGGTTCTATATTAAATTGACATGGCCATCCGGTAATTAAAAACCGACTAATAAAATTGGCACGTTGAAACTCTAATAATAATTAAAAAATAATAATTTGTTGAAATTAATTTTGTCAGAGCATCCCTTTTTTTTTTTTTTTTTTTTTTTTTTGGTGGGGGGAGGCAAACACCACTAAATGAAGAATTTCTCATGGAATATGATCCAGAACAAAATCGGTTGAAATATTGTTTTGTGAGAGTTTCACAATCGAACGAACCACCTCATTGTTATGTCGAAAAACATAACTAATATTGAACGAGGCAAAATTTTGGAGCAAATACACTCTTTTTTTTTTTTTCACATATTAATATGGGTACTACCTAGTCTCAATTTTGCAGATGGTAGTGTTGGGATATGTGTGCCCTAGCATAGCAAATTCTTATTTTGGATTGTAAAAGTCATGGTTCCTTATCTGAATATTATTATTAAAGTATTATACAATTGGTGAATAGAATGTATTATTTTTCGATTCATTATAGAATTGATTGTGTCCACTTGATTACAAGATATATTTATATATGTATGTAAAGGCAATTAATACTATGTTATAAATTAGTAACCATAAATGGTTCAAAGTCGGTAATTATGGATGGACATTTAATTAGTTAAGACTTAAACTGAGTTCACGATAAATTGAGATATATTGTAAAAGTTGTCGTATGCAATTGCTCTCTATCACAGTCATGGCTTTTGACTCTCAAGTATGAGAGAAGTATAGACTCTTTTATTAATTAATAATTACTTTGATTTGTTCGGCGGATACCTCGGGATCCTTAGATCGACACTTTGGGTAGTATGTAATTAATAGTTAGAGGTCTATATTCTCAATATTTGCATCAGTGCTATTTGTATTTATTTAGTTTTAATTATGGTTGACCACAAATTAAATTCAAAGGCCTTCGTATGTTTTAGACAAATGTTTTCTAGATATATATTTATTTAGTAAATTATTATTTTTGTCAAATAAATATATTTTTGTGATCGAGCCGGAAATAATCAAAGGTAACAAAATAATTATATTAATTATATTGTCGGATTGATGGCTTTAATTATCCGATAAATAATTATGTATAGAGGAGTCAAAGTGCAACATTGACTTAGAGGTTATTTACTATTTAATTGGAGTGCAATTAATTTCTTTTAGTGGAGTAGAAATTAATTTATAAATTAATTGAATTGGGTCAATGGTTTAATGGACCGAACCAATTATTAATTTATAGGAGTCAAGAAAATAGTAAGCTCAAAAGGATTCTCACCAATAGCCCAAGTTGATATTGTAGTCCTGTTAGAATTGAGAAAGTTGAATTAGAGATGGAGAATGATTTAATGTTTCCTTTTCTTATTTTATATTTTGCCTATATATACAGGGTTCATGTATATTTTAAGTGTGACTTTTAGAACAAGAAAAATGAATACACTTTCTCTCTCTAGATTTTAGGGTTTGTTTTCTCTTCTAAAAGGAGGCTATCACAAGTCTAAATTTCAAGGTCATTCATCAAGGCATATTGGTGATTTCTAAAGGGAAGATTATAATCAAGAAGAAGGAGAAATGATCTTACTAAAGGGATCTACAATAAGTGAGAACATTCATTTTAGAGAAAAGATTAAAAGGTTTACTCAGACCTTTGATATAAGTATTCAATCTGTTTATTGAATCATACATCATCCTTTATTTATTTTTGTATAAAACTTGTCTCTATGTGATGAATCAAGATCCATGATTACAAATTCCTTAAAAAAATTTAAAAATTTGCACGTTTCCCAATAGGTAAGTAGGTGGGAGTGTTGAAAATTACACTACTCAACACAACCCTGGTTTCAAAATTCTCTCTTTCCTTGTTATACTGTGCTATTGTTTGAATTCATTAGTGTCTGTTAAACATGTTTGGTGATTGAGGTCTCACAGCTAACAGGGATTGTGGGATTAGCATACTTGACCAAAAGCTTAAAACTAGGGTTTTTATCGGACCATCTTTGTCTTTTTTTCCGGTTATTAATTTGCTACCATAATCTTGGATTCAGCAACATGGTTTTGACAAAATTGGGATAATAAACTCGTTGATCCAAAGGTGACCAATGTTCAGATATTATGGCTAGAAAGTTGAGCTCCATGTCTCTCTCTCACTGGTGTTGTGCCCTAAGGCATTGAAATCACTTTTTCTTAACAGTGATTAAAGAATCAGTTTAAAGGTTATTTTCCTATTACTACTAATAGATTAGGTAGAAAGTCAATTAAAGTGTACTTTGGATTGATGTTATGATGTTGCCAGCCATGCAGTCAAAACTCATAAGCACATAACTTTTAAAGTATTTTTTTGAGTTAGCTTTTTTTATTTTTTTAATCAATCTTTTAATTTTCTTCTATGCTGAAAATAACAAAATTTTCTCATTCAACTCATTCAATTTTTACATAAAAATGATAACTTTTATATATCGAGCATTATCAGATTAATAATTCTTGTTGATGTTAAGTATAATCGTGACTGCATAATTTTGTATGTGAATCTTACTGTGTGACTGCAAGATTTATGTATATATGCACACACATATAAATACATATTTATACATATATTTGTAATGCACCAAAGCCAAGAATCAGTGCATCACTTGGGGGACATAAAGTGGAAGAGCCTTCTTCTATGTGGGTTCTTGGTTCCATAACTGACTTCTCTTTAAGCAGCACAAAAAATCTAGCAAAAAAAACACAGAAAGTGAAGGTAAGTGTGTGATGTGTCACTACTCACTGCCCAAGCTGTGGGGTCCAGTGAAACACACACTAATAAACATTATTAAATTCCTGCCCTTTTTTTATTTTTTAATCTCAAAATGCACCATGAATTACGCTGCCTCTTCTTACCATTTCCTTCCAATATTCTCTCTCTAGATTTTGACTTCCTCTCTCTCTCTAGATTTTGACTTTCATCTTGTTTCACCCTTGAATACAGATCAGAAGTGGAATAGAAGAACTGAAGCAGAATGTAATCTGATATATAAAAAATGAGAAAGAACCCATATCAGTTCACATTTCGAAATCAAATAAATTGTTTTATTACACACTAACCACTTTTTTAATTGGGTGAATTAAATGGGCATTGGGGTTGATGAATTGGGTTCCTTTGAAAGTCAACCAGAAAAGCCTAGCATTTGATGAAATCATAAAAGCCTTACCTTTTCTATTCACTCTACTGAATTTTTTACCAACAAAAAATGATCACACTGTCATTTTTGTGTTATTATTGCTTCTTCAATATACTGCTCTCATTTGAAATCTTTCCTTCTGGGCATCAAAACTTATATCTGCCTAGGATTTGAATACCCCTTTCTCTATCACTCTCTCTCTCTATATCTATATATATATATATATATATGTATATATATATATATATTTTACTTGCAAGTTCCTTTTAAGGTAAAAATAATTGGGTAAACAATTGGGGTCTTTATCACAAAGCCTGCTTATATCATACATTACCCAAATGCCAATAACCTGAAAAACATCCCTGGTGTATCTTCATTTGGGTGTTTTAGATTTGTGTCTGGTGACAGATGGGATTATTTTGGTTCTATGTTTCAAGCCACAAGCTACAATCTTGGTGAGTTTTCCTCTCTCTTTCCTGGAAAACATGGATTGGATTTTCTTTGAAACCAAACAACAAAGCTTCCTTTCTCCATCACAACAACCATATTTTCTCTCTGATCTATCTCCCCCTCCTCCTCAAGTTTCCAATCTCCAATCTGGTTTCAGTTTGAACAACAAGGTAAGTCCAAGCATATTACTCATCATTGTAATTCTTGCCATTATCTTCTTTGTGTCTGGTTTGCTTCACCTCCTTGTTAGATTTCTACTGAGACCTCCGGTGAGAGACCCTGATGATTTGGACAATGTGACTGCTCTTCAAGGTCAGTTGCAACAACTCTTCCATCTTCACGACGCCGGTGTCGATCAGTCTTTCATAGACACGCTCCCTATCTTCAACTACAAAGCCATTATCGGAGTAAAAGACCCTTTTGATTGCGCCGTGTGTTTGTGTGAATTCGAGGGTGAAGATAAGCTGAGATTGTTGCCCAAATGTAGTCATGCCTTTCACATGGAGTGTATAGATACATGGCTATTGTCTCACTCCACTTGCCCTCTTTGTAGAGCTAGTTTGCTCCCTGATTTCTCTCCCAACAATAGTTGTTCACCAATAGTCCTTGTTCTTGAATCCGGGAGTGAGAGCTCCAGAGAGATTGTCTCCGACAGAGATGGTGGTGGTGGTCTGGGCAGTACCAATTTATCAGCAAGAGCAAATTCCCATCTGGGATTTCATTGTGAGGAAGATTTTGGATCGACCCGGTTCGATATTTCGCATAAATCTTGTGAAATTCAGGTGAAGGATGATCCAAATCAAGAAAAAATGGTGGGTGCAGAGGAAAAAGTTGTGCCTATTAAGCTTGGAAAGTTTCGGAATGTTGATGGTGGTGGCGGTGGTGGTGGTGGAGGTGAAGGTAGTAGTACTAACAACAGTGTTGATGCAAGAAGGTGCTTCTCTATGGGGTCATTTCAATATGTGATGGATGAGAATTCATCATTGCAAGTACCCATTAGGACTCCATTGAAGAAACAGTCAAGCAAGAAGCCTAATCTGCCGCCATTAAACCCCGGTCACAGGACGGCCATTTCTGAATATGACTGTGAATCAAGAAGAGATTTCAATGGTTTTGAGCCATTCAAAAGTGTTGAAATTCATGGTGGTAGCAGCATTAGTAATGGCAATGACAATGGGAACGGGAAATCTTTTGGGAGGAGCAAAAGGGAGAGCTTTTCAGTGTCGAAGATTTGGCTAAGGGGGAACAAGAACAAGGCTAATTCCACTCCGGTGGAGTCGTCCAGGAGGGCTTTTTCGTTCCGGTTTCCGGTGCACCGGGATATATTCGCCGGCGACGAGTGGAAGGCCAAGAATTGTGGGAGTGATGCAAGGAAGGCCAAGTCTGAGATTGGGACAGATAATTGGAATTATGGAGGAGGGAGTGAATTTGGTTGTGATGAGGAAATTCAGAGCTGCAATAGTTTGGAATCTCAAGCAAAAACACCATCTTTTGCTAGGAGGACTCTGCTTTGGCTTGTGGGAAGACAAAACAAGGTGGTTCACTCATCTTTCTCACCCAATGTGTAATTTTTTTTTTTTAATTATTTTAAGTTCTTGCTTTACTAGATACTTTTTCAGTTTGATTTCTTTATTCTGGAAGGCAAATTTGGAATATGGGTATTGGATAATATCACAGAAAGGAAAAGGAAAAGGAAATATGCAACTAGGACTGAGATTTCAATACAAAAATATATGCATTTTACTGTAAAATGTTTGTGTTCCATAATTTTTTTTTCTGTTTTTTTATTCCATAATTTTTTTTCCTTCTTTTTAAGTACTTTTGTTTTACTTAACTTGGTCCTAAATAAGTAATTCATTTTTTTTTCCCCTCTTTTTTCATTTCATTTTTACTTTAATCTAATCATGCCCAATGTTTAGTTGTTAATGAAATTGATTTTTCATTTCATTTTTACTTTAATCTAATCATGCCCATTGTTTAGTTGTTAATGAAATTGATTTATTTTGGGCCGACAAACAAGTCTTTCTCAAATGTGACAAAAATTCTTTTTGACAATTATTGAAGACTTGTTTTTAACTTCAAAAACCTTTATTGTGTCAATTTCTTATTTATCACTTTAAAAATAATTAGCTTTCAACATAATACTAAAAGGGCCTTCAAAGATTGAATTTTTCAACATAGTTGGTAAATGAGACAAATCTCTGAATCGACTTATTTATCTCATAAATTAATATGAGTAATTTATGTTCAAGTAAATTCAATTCACAATTCTTAGACAAAACTTAGTAAACTAATAAATTTTTAAATATATTATCTTATAAAATATCTCTTGCAAACATAACCATGCGTATTTTAAGCCAAGTTTGAATATTTTGATCTGTCTTATAACAAACCATACTTCATCTTGTATTTCTTTATAGAAAATAGATTTTTTTTTTTTTCCTCTCAATTTAATCTATGAGAATAATTAATTAGTCCTATTTATGGGATTACCATTTTATTCTCTAAGTACAAAAAAACAAAAGAATAGCTTATTAGAAAAGCTATAGTCATAACCATTCTTTTATTGACTTTAAATGCTTGTAGGGTTGGTTGTTCGTTGTCACCATTAGTATGTGTGAACGAAGGTTCGAGTTCAAAGGACACTCTTGAATGATAGAAAATTCCAACTTTTCATTCTCTTATTTACTTCTTCATTTTCTTTCTCAAGTTCTTTTACGAATTAAATTATAATACTAAGATGTTCATGAATATTTTCATTCCTTTCGCTCCGTAAAATAATTTGTATGTATTTTTAGTGCTTGATTCTCTTAAAAAATTTACGAAGAAAAAAAATTATTAAATCCTAATAAAAAATAATTTATTTATCAATTTTTAATAAGTTATTTTACACGTTTCATCCATTGAACTTGATCTCGACCTCGACATAAATCTTTGCTGTCGAAAAAAAAAAATTTATATATATATTTTACGTCAAAAAATTTTTAAAAAAAATTGAAAAAAGATATTTTACTCTACACAAACGTATTAATGAGAAATAGACTAATGGAGTAACCAGGCGTTAGAGATTGCCTCATGCCACACGCTTCCTCTTCGTATAGGGCATGTTTGATGTTATGTTTCTCTAAGTTAAAAGTGATTTAGTTTGAAAAGTCACTTTCAGCAGTGTTTACTGTTTAGGACATAATTTGCCCCCATGTCAAGAATATTAATGATATAATAGTAATATCAGTCCCCAATTATATAAATCAATCATATTTATTCGATTTTCAAACTTCAAATCAATAATCTCAACCTTCAACAGTTTTTCAAGAAATAAATCACTTTAATAGAATTTATGACAACACCAACCACGCACGCCAAGTCCATCCTATAATGGTTGGTTTATTTGGTGCTGTCAACGTGAATTTTGATTTAAAAAATTCAAAATCTCAATAAATGTTTCATTTAATTCATTTCAGTTAATTGAACTTGAAAGCTTTTTCAGTGGTTGGACAGCAAAGGTCATTGTGGTCACAGGCTGTTGCATTTATTGGGAAGGCATTTTCAAGTGTAAAAATATAGATGGGGGTATTGATGGACTAAACATTAATGGGTGATGTTATTACTGTCACGAGAACCGTTGAGGGCTGTTGTCTGGTGTTTATATATGTGACCCAACACCACCTCATCTTCTTGTCCCTCTTGCATACGCTTAAAACCTTTTTATTGTTTTGTTGACCCGTAGAAATTACCATTTGTGTCCTTTCCCTTTCCTTCCTTCATGGTCGATGTGTGTGGGTGTAATGGAAAATTCGAGAATTGCTTAGGTTAGGATTAACTTTTGTAAAATTTAATTCATCTAAATCGCTATCGTTTTCACGCTCCACACGCATTCTCGCTCCTCCTAATTTCACTCTATGTGATTTTTATTTTGTTATTTTTGGGCTTCTCCTCTCACTCCGGCTCCCGTTTTGTATGACTTAAGTTTGTGTAAGATTCATATATATATATACACACACACATACTAGCCACAACTTACATGGCTTATATATTAGATGAATAACAATCCTGAGTTTTTGCAAGACATGGAGGAGGGTTAGAATATTTATTAGTTTAAAATCAAATGGGCAAGTTTAATTCAATGGACAGGTGTTAAACGGGCTGGGCAGGACTAGACCGGTCCTAAAATATCTGGACCCAGACATGGTTCATGCTCGTTATTGTTTGGGTCAGGCCGGGTAGTGATGAAATTAAAACGAAGGTGCAAGGTCGGCCCAAGTTCAGGGTTTCCACCTTTTGTCAAATTGGACTGCCCACAAAATGTGGAACCAAAGCACGAATCAAGCCTTTTACAGATGGGGTGTCCATTAGTTGTGGAGGCCCATTTGGATGATTTATCATTATTATTATTATTTTTTGTCAAGATACACACTTCACTCACACACATTCATTTTGTCTTTAGACGATTCAAACCTTACTATCCATTTTAGTTTGTTGTGAATTTAAAATTGTTTAACTATTCATTTGTATCCATTTTGTCCTTTGGAGATTCAAACCTTCACCATTCATTTTAGTTTATTGTGAATTTAAAATTGTTTAATTATTCGTGAATTTTGATAACTTTTCTATTCTCAAAGTAATTATATTTGAAATATGGTTCAATTTTGTAAAGTATAATACTGCATTTCTAGCTATTTATTAAAATTGGAATAAAATAAAGTAGATTGAAATCCTTTTTATGAAAAAATTACATCATTATCTATGGTGGCCAACAACTGGATCATCATCTCCAGGTGACAAAATCAACTTAGCACTTCAAGCCGGTCAGCTGGAAGTGGCACCCAGCCCTCAACTTCTGTCGGATAAGAAAAAAAATTCAAATCTCCTCATTGCAAAACAAGCATCAGCCAAGAAATAACATCTATCAAGAATGGTAGTGTTAGCAAAAACACTGAGTTTTTTCATTTATTCTTATCGTTAACCTCATTTTTTTCAAACAAGGAAAGAGTAACGTCCTTATATCTGAAAAGAATAATTTTTAAAAATGATACTCTCACTTATTTATAATCATTGTAATCCCTAAATAAATTATAATTAATGTTTAAAATCTAGTCTATAACTTTCCACCAAAATATCTATATATTTATAAACTCTTCCCTTCTAAAATATACCAACTTTTACAAACTCTTCCAAGTTTAAGAATCTTCCATTCCGTATACAATGTTTCACAATTTAACATAAATGCAGAAGACTTTAAAATTTTATTCTACTCATCTAGGTAGAGTCCTCAAATAGATGACGTAAATTGATCGATACAAATAGAGTGTGCATGACGTATAGCATACTTAATTGTTATTATTAAAAGAAAAAAAAAAATCACTTATTAAAATGTCATTATAAGTTGATAACTATCATAAAGGGTTATAGTATAGTAATTCTATCTCAGATTTCAATTTTGTTCAATATTTTACTTATGTGTCGGATTGGAAGGGACATGTAATTCCGACTATCCCATGTAATAATTTATCCAAAAGAAAAATAATAGATGTGTGAACTTATATATATATATATAAACAAGTAATTAATATAACAGCTAGGAGCCAAAACAAATTTTCCTTTTTTTTTTTTTTTTTTAATTTTTTAGCAAGTATAGACTCATTATGTCGAACCATAAACCTCCTATGGGGAAAAGATGGGTAGATACTTAAAACTAGATCAATGCAACCAAAAAAAAAACCATACTTACACATGTCATGATAACTTAACATAAAATTGTTATTAAAAAAAAATTTGTTATTAAAAATAATAATAATAATAAAATAGTGATATGAACCAAGCAACTCAACCGAAATGAGAGGCCTAACCGCCTAAGCCTCCCCGGTCCTCAAATGGACTTGTTGCATCTGAGCGCTTGGAGACTGTGATGCCACAATATTGGCATTACATGAAAAGAAGAGAGCCCAACGTAGCCAAGAGATAAACTGCCGACAGAGATACAAGTACTGATCATGTGGACAATATATGTGTATATATATATATATATATATATCATTAATCTAGTAGCTAGTATTGATGCAGGCAATTCATCCTTGGCTCCATTGGACTTCCTTCTACTCATGCAATGCCATAAAATGGGTGATATTAATTCTCTGATCTATGAGTCATCGAGATTAATTTATATTTGTTATGGGTTTCAGTATGTGCACTGGTACTGGTATATATAGAGAGAGAGGCAAAAAGGTTGATGAATGAGAGAATATTGGAGATATATTCGGAGCCAATTAATTTTTAGGAATGAATATATAAGGCTTCATGGTGACCCCGACATTCTCTTATCAGCTAAAAACTTTCTTTCATTTGGTCAGCTCACATTTGGTCCAGGGACAGAGCTAGAATTTCAAGTGAGGAGACACACTGCCAAAAAAAAATAATAATAATAATACAGAGTACATATACATACATATATATATAACAACTATAAAATTTAAAAAGACAAAGAAGAAAAAAATTATTAAAATATAAAAGGAAAGAAAAAAGAAAAAACTTTAATAAGAAATAGTTAAAAAGTTTCAATTGAGGAAGGAAAATTTGACTTTTTCCACTAAAGAAATTTAAGGAATGTGAAGAGTAAAAAAATAAAATAAGAATATAATTTTATGAACTACAAATTTGAGAGGACACTATATAAATTTTTTCATATATATGAAATTTTTTTAAAAAAATTACCACATAGGTTGCTGACCAACTTAGGAGGAGCACGTGCCCCCAG